CTCATCGACTCTCTTTCTTGTTCTTCCTTGCGAGCATGATTGCACCTTGCCGTACTTCACGGCGATTGCGATCTTCATGACCCAGGCCGGTACCTTCTCGGTGGTGGTTAATGTGTGATCATTTGCCTGATCGAACTTCTCCTTGCAATCATCGAATCTGTATAAGAACAGTGCAATGCATGGAAGACGTTGCCGAAGTTCATGAACATGAAACTCACAAATATCTCCAGACACAATATAAGATGTCATGTCGACGAAATGGTTCTGGATTCTTCCCTTCTGTTCTCGATGACTTCCCGGAATATCCTGTTAATCACGAAGAATTCCCTTCATGCCGTCCGTGCTGGTAGCAAGGAGTTTGCTCGCCTGGAAATCTGTCTCGTTGATTTTCTCGCTACCTGTCTTGACGTGAGGTGCGATGTCCAGCATGGTTCTCTTTGGCTGAGAAGGCTTTGCCTGCTCTCCAATATGTGAAATCCCGGCGACTTGATTCATCCGTAGGAGGATGAGGTGCCATGAGAAGAACTCGGCCCTGGTGGTTCTCTCTGCCAAATTTCTCATCCTTCCTCTCGAGAATCTCGTTCTGAGTATACTGCGTGTGACCTGAAAGTGGAGAAGGGAAAAATGCTGGACTTGTTTGTTCTGAATCGAACCCTCAGGAAGGTTCCTGTCCTTTATCCATCTTCCAGAATCTCGTGGAGGCGGTCCAGACAGATCACCTTTGTAGGTCATTGCCGCACAGCATCTGCTCTTGCAGACATCAAAGAGGGATGCTACAAGCAGCAATCCGTTGTTCCCGCCATACGAACGGAGCTTCGGGGTTCCCTGCTTTCTGCCGCAGAACTGCAGCGATGACTCTGGATATCTTCTCCTGGAGAAATAGCAGCAATTGTGCTGTCACCCGCAGGGTTCTCTCTTCGGTTCTAGGAGCTTCGCCAGTGCCTTCACACTACGCTTGGCAATTGAATACCGTAGGAACCATCTGCATATACCAGGTGAATGGTGCACAGCATGTTATGGTGTTGTTGATGTTCTTCGTATATAGCGAAACTCCTAAGGTCATACCGATCTCCGACGTGATCCCAGACTCTGAAGAATTGCAAGCCATGGATACGGTGGTTCTTGTCGTGGTAATCACGTTTGCTCTGCGGGAGATACTGAAACTTTGGTCTGATGCCACTTATGAAATGGCATCTCTGGGAAAAACCCTGAGGTTCATCTGGTTCGTCACCCTCATATGAAATGTTCCCTGCTAGGAAGATGCACAAGCGTAAGGATCAGTATAGGCATTGTAGGCCAACCATTCAACCAGGAACGCCTTGTTCCAAAGCATTATTCTGAAAGGTGGACGCGTATCAACATTTGGAAGAATACCTGTCATGATAAACTTAATAAGCTCGTCGAAGAGCTCTTCGTCAAGCAATCTGCAAGACAATATTCTGAACGTACATGAGCGAGATCATGCACCTGTCCACTATTACTCTCCTTACGGAGCAGTTGGATAAGGTGCATGGTTTCTTTCTGTTCAGGTTGATGGGTTGTTGATGCAGTGGTTACTAACTTGTTAGCATCGGTGCGGATTTGGACATCTGCAAGTTTGCCAGATATGTCTGACCAAAGTCCTCGTATGACAAAACACGTGCCAAAGCAACGCATCAGACGTGCAACTCCGCCAGAGTGGTGGACATGGTAGTTGCTGTGATCTTATGAGTTTCATAATCAACGAGGGATCCTCGAGTTCGGAGAATCTTTGTGAACATTCCGATCTTGTGCAAGAAAACTCACATGTGCGCACTGCGATGATCCGCCGTCCGCCCAACGTGCCTTGGTCTTGAGGAAGTTGCCTTCCTTGTCGCTCTTGATGGTTAAGACCCCATCTTCCGGCTTTGTGACTTGGAGTTTCCTGGTGTCGACTAGGTCGAATACTTTGTTGGCTAGCCAGGATTTGCGCTCCAGCTGCTTTGCTTCAAGAAACTGTTTTGTATATGCTCGGATCTCTTGTTGTGTTGCTTCCTTACGTTTCTTGCCAATTGGCTGTTGTGTTGTGGAAGCCTTGAGGGACTCCTGTCTCTTTGTATACAGTGTGAGCATCGCTCGGTCGTCATCGTTGAGGCCGTGGCACGCTGACTCAATGTCGTACTTGTTGTGTTGTCGCGTGCGAAGAACGAGAAGTTGTTATGGACCTCAGCGGAATGCACTGTATGGAGACTACTGGGTCTGTCCTCAACATCTCTTGGAACAGTGAATGGTCCAGTGTTGCTGCACACTTTCTGATCATGGGTGAGCCGTGTCCAGAGTGCTTCATCAGGTTTGAATCTCTTCGAAAATCAGAGCTCTCCGGTTCTTGCTGATCCTTGAGGAGTTTGTGAGAGGATTCTTCCTCTTTTCCAGGGTCATCTTGTTGCGCCAAACTTGGTTTTGTTGGGGAGGAGGAGATTGGAAGTGGTGGAGAATCATTTGACGATGATGCTACTGATGGTTTGGCTTCTTGCGGGCTGTCCTTGTTCTTTTTGTGTTTCTTTGCTGATGCACCTGCTTTTTGCATTTCATCGTCGTCATTTTCAGGTACAGGTGGGTTTGAAGGTCGTTTTTGCTTCGGTGGAAGCACGACAACTGTCGGCCGATTAGGAGGCTTTGAATCATCACCCCCCAGCCGATGGAGTCGACTAGTCGAGGAAGTTGGCTGAATAGCTGACTGAGTCCGTGGCTGTCGTGGTCTTAGAACTGGTCCCTGGGTGACTGGTCTGTTAACTTGCCACAAAAACACGCAGGCGTCATCCGATGGTGTTGTCAACGGATAGTTGACGCCGATCGTGCGGTTGTACATGACGCACTTTGTTGCCAGGTGTGTGAGGTATACAAAGATACCTCAATCTTCTTTCGCCATTATGAATGGCAAGAATGTCATCCAATCCCTTACCATGCCTTCGTGCGAAACCAGCTAACACAGCCGTCATACGATGGAGGCAACTTTGCATTCATCGAAAGGTTGGTCTTTTCATGGGAACTCGTGCCGTTATGTAAGAAAGCCGTAGCGGGTGGTTCCGCTCCATAAAAGTTGAATTCTTGCGTTCGGGGAACCTGCTCCGCTACCACTATTTCTCGAAAGGATGAGGCGTTACCACCTTGTATGGTGCCAAGTCAGCAAGACTGGCGGTGGAAAGCTACGTAGTCCTGAACAATCTTATTGGCTAGAGGGTGCGCTGCAGAATGTGCGGCTTCACTCATAAGTGATCGGGCGGCCTACCGCAGCACTGGGGACAGAGTGGCCCGGCGCTCCGCTACCACAATTGAGGTTGTAAATGCGGGGGCTGAATGGGGCCAGCAATGCACCTCGTAGGTCCTCCAGGACACCATCGCTTTGCTGATTGTGGAACACCGCGTTGTTTGATCCTTCAAGGGCCAAACACTGCCTTATATTTCGTCATTTTCCTCTTCACAGATTCATTCCTCTTGTTTATTGCTACAGGTAATGAGCTACACACCAGGCCTTGAGCCATGCATTGCATACAAGAGATTGCTTCATGAGTGGATCATGTGACACAAGCACAGGACAAAACAAGAAACACCCCCCCGCGGCCCCGGGAACCTGCACGGAACGCCAAGGTTAAAGCTTCAGCGAAAGAAAGGGGCACCCTGTTTCAACTGCATGGCTGAGCTTCCTCAAGCATAGCACAGTACGCAAAATCTGAGACCCTTTCTCGAAAAGGAGCATATGTCTTTTGCTTGCGCGGGGTGGTTCTGGGCTTGTATTCGTCTTGGCAGCATGGTAACCAGGGTTTGGCCAACCACTTGTTTATCCCATTCACTGGTTCGAACAACATCCTTTTGGTTAGTTTCCGACGGGGACCAGAGGTTGGTCCTTTAATCGCATGTTACCCAATGGTTGTAACCTACGGGGTTGACCGGCCTCACGCCTGTCAGGTAGATCCGAAGGCCGCGAGCCCAACGGCTTGCAAATTCTATTCCTTCAAGCTTACATGGCTCAAGCAGTTCAATTCAATCCTCTGAAGCCAGCATGAGGAAACAACGAATATGCAGCCATTAGCAGATGCACACCTCATACCCCTTCTCCCCTGCACACTGGGTTTGGGGGTACCTTTCCGGGCACCCACTTTACTCCCATGGCTTGTGTAGATGGACTGGCTCCTATTTTTCCAGCTGTTTTTTTTTTCAGAGTTCGTGGTCGGAGCTGTTGCACGTATAGAAATCAGGAATGTCTGCCGAACATTGGCCAAATCCTGACCAAGACCTCGAGGGGCTTGAACGTGCGCAGCTTGTTGGTGTAGGTCTGTACGCCTGCGAAGCAGGCCCGGATGCTGGCCAAAGCACGCCGGTGGACGGCTCGAAAAACAGGCAGAGCGGCTTAGGAATTATGAACCGTGTTGTTTTGATCACTTGCGACGTGGTTTAGTTGCGTTTGGGAGGGGGTGAAGCTATTGTTTTGTGCAGGGATTGGCATGGAAACTAAGAAAGCGGTGTTCTGTTCCAGTGCCCTGTGTAAGGTTTCTTCTATGAGGGAAGTTATTGGAAGTTTGGGAAAGTTAGAAAGTGGTGAGTAGCTGAACTTACCTCAGGGGTAGCAGCAAGCCCTTCCAATGTTGACCGTCCCCTTGCCCTCAACATGTGAGTAATTCAGGTCTCACCCCAGGGCTCTCGGATGCCAAGGAAGCCAAGGGCATCAGTGACGGCATGGCGCGACACATTGGCACGGTCAAACAATTACGGGGGCCCTAAAATACGGGTTTTCCTGTTGGTGTCTGTCTAAACCAAGGTGAACAGAGTATCCTCTCAGCGGCTTGGTCGCGATCACTCACAGCAAGTTTGTTCGCGCTCCTCACATGGGTGTCTCAATTCCTTGGACCAATTGGTCAGATCATTTACAGAGGATTTACGTGCGCCAGGCATTTTGTGGAGTGCATTGGTTGAATATTGGGGTTGGGTCAATAAAGTCTCAGGTGTTGATCTCCAGGGCAGGCTTGACCTTGCTCGCTATTTGCAGCCTTTTGAGCGTCAAGCCGTCGTAGCGAAGTAGCTTCTTGCTCATGCTGGCAAAGTTGGTGTTGCTTTGTGCTGTGACTGGCGCCCTTGCAGGTTTGAAATGGGGTTCAGTCAATCAGACCGACAGCAAGGAGAATCCAGAGCCGGACTCCAGCGATTTGCAGGGCATGGAGAGCACAACCGAGCCTGACGGCTCGGATGTCGCAAGCAAGAAGCGGCTTCCGTCGTGGTTGCTGTCACTATCACCACCACCACCTCCACCTGTGGGGCCATACAACCCTTACCCGGCCACCCCCGGGGCCGACTTCATTCGCTACCTCAACCACGACTTCAAGCAAGGCTATGTCCTGCACCAGGAGCACGATCCAAGCATACAAGACCCATGGAAGTGTTGGACCGTGACCAAGGAGAAGGGATTCAACGCCATGTCCTACAGCGCCGTCCACAGAGACTGCTACTTCAAAAATGTGCCTGTTCCTTTCCCGGGTGCCACCGCCTTGGATCCGTGGCACGACGGCTTTTGCCAAGTGAAGATGTGAGGTGAGGAGCGAAAGGCACACGCCTAATTTTGTGCTCCAGCCGGAACAGCCCACAGGAATTACCGCTGGCGGCTGTGGCCCCCATTTTGCTCGTGCTTAGGCATGACAGCTATCCAGCACGAGGCAGGGGGATTTTAATACTAGAGATGTGTTATACACAGGCACGATCTCGAGCTTGTCTCAAAGCCCGCACAGAAAAGCGGCTAGTGGATCTAACGGGTTGCTCTGCGCATGGCTCGGTGCTCCAAGCATGAAGACTCAGAGCCAATGGAACTTCTTTTTTTTTACATGGTTCACTTGGGGTAACTCCTGAGGTTCATAGCTGCTTGGTGACATGCTGCCTGTGTGGCTCCAATTGTCGAGCCGGGCATGGACGACGCATTTCTCCGAAGGGAACCTGGTTGTTCAATGGAGATCGCAATCTGTTCTCCCCATGGCCGGTTTTCTAAGCTTTTCGTCACTAGCTGCGCTGTCCAACTGATACGTTAGCGACGGACGATCTGCTTGGCAGTTTAGTGTTCGTATTGGGAGAACGATGGGCCCACCTGGCATTCCACAACATCCCAAAACAATCAAAACAACACGAGACAAGGAGGCTTCAGAATGCAAGGAGCTGAAATTCACTTTGACTGTCCAAATTTGTCCTCCACGTGATTTTGGGATTTTCTTCCAAACACCTGCCCCAAAGCATGAGACGACAACCATGTTAAGCAAACAACAAAAGCACATGTTGCAAATGCTCGATTGTCGGTCTGTAGTCCTGGGAAGTGACCATGTCCCAATGATTCGATTTACCCATATTCAGGTGGTGCTCCTTAATTGGTGGTTTGCGGGATTGAATCCCAGTTCCTTTGACTAGTAATAAGGATGTGTATATATATATAATAGTAGGTAGCCAAAAGAACCACCCTTTCAAAATCAAAAGGAAAATGCGACACACGGTGTACTGCCGAAGCTCAGGAACAAAGCCAGAAGGCCAAAGCGAGGATTCCGGGTTTCAAGCCTTTGGATGGGCGCCCGTGAAACAAGACAGACGGGACACAGAAACCGAGATAGGCTGGTTTTGGTGGTCCAGTGATCCGTTACAAGAAATTGAGGCGAAGCGGGATCAAGTCATCGCCATTTGGATTGGTGAAGCAATTGTTTGCACAGAGTAAAACATATGCCAACATAAAAAAGGGCGCTTCACAATACTTGCCGGGCAGCGCCTGCGTTGCCATGGCTTTCGACAATGTCGTACACTTTCAGGCGCAACTGAAATTCCTGTTTGGATGGCCAGCGTTGAAGCCCGAAGTGCCGCAAGGGCGCGTGGGTTTCTGGTGATGACCCACAGTTTGCTCGCTTGTTTGCTTGCTTGCTTGCTGTGTTTGAATTTGGGAACCTACAGTGGAATCTGTTCACAGAGACAGTGCAGCCTAGACCACTTGATGTCAGTTTTTGTTGTGACCAGCTGACCAACCCCATACAACGTGCCCTGAGACAGAGAATTTCCTGGCGCGCAACAGGCCATGGCCCGGATTTTCAAAAAAGACAAACGGCACAGATTGTGTTTTCCCCGCTGTGGGGTCCACTCCCCTACAGCTTTGGAATCCCAAAAAGCACCATCTGAGGAGGAAACTCCTTTGGGGAATTGGATCCGTTTGTTGGGTTCCACGTTATGTTGCAGAGTACTGAGCACAGTGCCCCCTACCCCTCGAGATTCTTTGAACCCTTCTAAGACCCTTTTCGAGAAGGTTCTTCGCGAAGATTGGAAAGGGGAGGGCCGGAATGGTTTCTCACTGGAGTCTCTTAACTCAAGCTTTGAAGCTTCGCGAGATATATGCTGGCATCTTCTTGGCAAGTAGTGTTGACATGTTTTAAGGCTCGCAAAATCCAAAGCTGAGGTCGTCTAAGGGAATCTTTAGCCAGAGCCCGAGCAGGCGCCGCTGGGTGCTGGCACGGTGCCCAGAGTCGAAGTCGTTTGTGGCTCTACACCTTGTAGGGTTAAGGAACCCATGCAGCCAAAACGAAGCGAGCAGCGCCCAAAGTGACCCATGGAGAATGAAGAGTTGACCTTGTATGCTCTGGACTAACATGGAACCCACCAGGTCCCTTTAAAGGAAAGTTTTCTTCCAGGATTTGTTTGCGAGGTTTCCTGTTTGTGGATGGAGGCCAACATTGGAACGCCAAAAAGTCAGTGACAAGAGAGAAACTGGAACTGAGACAGACCTTGCGCGACAACGTGCTGTCTAGATGAGTTGTGGGAGCCCCAAATCGTTTCAAGGAGATCTGCGTGTTTTGGTTTTACTATCCGGCTAATTGCTATACCTCAGAAACCTGATTGCAAGGAGTCACCACGTAAAAGGCCTACATCATTGTGAGCTCGATTTGGCCCCAAATCGGTGAGCTCACAACAAATAGGCAGAGGATATTCTTTTGACAAAGTCATTTTCCTTTGCAGGCGCCGGCCAGAGGAAACCATCATGCGCTACAACAGCATTGATTGACTCCCCTTGAGGGTGTGTTGATGTCAGGGGTATGTGGCTATAGTTTTAGTCGGAGCCCATCAATCGTACCCCATGTGAACGATGCAGTCCTCAAACAACATTCGGGCCCACAACCCCTACCATTGAATTCCTTTTGGTTTGCTACACCCGTTCAAAGCGTTTTTTTCGACTCTTTACTTGCTTAGAGCAACATATCCTTTTGCTTAGAGCAACATAGCCTTTTGGGGAACCTCTTTTTGGCGTTTTTGGGCTCCAGCTCAATGTCTAGGGGAGTTGCCGAGGGAGCCAATAAATCCTAAACTGAGCAAATTGGAAGCTAGTAGGCCGAAGTGTCCGATGTCGGCATGCAAGGAACCTGGGGGTTTATCTACCAAAAATCAGATGCCCCGTCCTTTCTGGGGTTGTTTTGAAGGGACACTGCAAATCCAAGGTTGTAACACCTGACCCCTGCAACGATTAAGGCAAATTAGGGGTAATAAGCTCTAAGTACGGGTTAACTCTCATATGTCTTCTTTGGTTTGGTCTGGCGGCAATTGGAGGAAGTCTTTGAGTACGTCAAGGGAAACAATGCATGTCGAGAGTCTCCTAGTTTAAGGACACACCGAAATGAGGCTTTGGACACCCAACATGGCTTTTGGGTGTCCTTGTGTTTTCCTTGCACGTTACCACACACCCTGTACCTACTATGTTCTGAATGAATGATAAGCATTTAGCAACTGTGTTGCATGACACAGCATTGTAAGACACAGCCATATTGTCTGATAGAGTATGCTCTTATGGTAACCTCCCAAGTCTGAACCCAGGAAAGAAGGAAGGGAAGCCTTAGTTGCAGCATTGGCAAGCAATGTCTTGTAGGTGCTTTTTGAGACATCCGTTTGTCACACATCAGGCTTAGGCCGGGGCTGGCTTTTGAAAACCCAAGTTGTTCGCTGGCATCCATTTGCCTTCGTCAGGGTCCGCACTAAAACTGGTCAAGGATAGGAAGGATTCCCTGTTTCTACCAGGGTGACTGGCTAGGTCCCCCAGTAGTGCCCTTTTGCCCTTTTTTGGGGGAGGGTTCCCCTACAAAAATAGACTACAGAAAAAAGGGTACCCTTGTCATTCTGACCTCTCTTCTGGAGGACCTAGCTGGACAACAAATGAGGGTCGAAAACGGTCGGCGAGTCGTCCAGCCCTCCACCCTTCCGGCATGAGGTTTTGGGCTTGGGCGCCGCCGGCGCCGCGCCGCTCGGCGGCAAAACAGGGCAAACAGACTTGTTTGTACAGGGTCCCTTGAAAGCAGCACTTAGAGGGGGGAATTTTGAGGATGTCATGGTACTGACTGCAGTTGAAGTAAGTTTCCGGACCTCCTCGTCCTCATATAGGGATGGAAAGCTGCGTACCCCCCCCCCCGGGGGGCAAGAAAAGAGGCCTTCCCTATAAAATTTCATGTGAATTCAGCCTAGTTTATGGCGAGCTCACCGATTCGGGAAGCACACGATGAGATTATTGTAGAATTTGTAGATGTGGGTGTGTCCTTCTTTGAGAATACCCCTTGTTGGCTCGGTTTTAAAGGGAACCAAAAGGACAACCGAAGCCACTTTGGGGTGTGCCCTACAGAAATGACACACCCATGTACAGACAGGAGATGGGTGACATTGTGAGCCAGCATCAACAGACAGTTCCAGCCGATAGGTGCTGTCCGCCCTGTGGGTTTGGGTTTGAGGAACCCTCAATTGCCAGGTGTTCATGTTGACCAAAGTGGGTGCTTCCAAACATGACCATGAAGTTTCTTGATACACCCCCAGGAATGGTTGGTGGATATAAATCCCCATGTAAACGATAAACCAAAGGGACACGATCAAGCTTCACACCCAAATTGGGCCCTAACATTGATTGGTTGCTGCTGGGTTTGTTTCGCGGCGCTTTTGATACAGTCGAATGTGAAATGTGCATGTCGTCTCAAGAGTTTGGTGTCAGTCGTACATCGTGAAGTTGATTTTCAAACATGAAGCGTGGCTCACATTGTCATTCGCGTTGGTCAACGTATTTTTTGAGGCGGCCAGTGCGGGTTGAACGTAGAACGACACCCAACGCACAACGTACACGAACACGTACAAAACAACAGGTACACAGACACAACCACACGACAAGGCAAGGCAAGACAACGCAAGACAAGGAAGACAACACAACGCAGCACACCACAGCACAAAACACACACACACACACACAGACACGCACACGCACACGCACACGCACACCCACACACACCCAAACACAGACACAAACACAAGCACAAACACAAACACAAACACAAACACGAACACGAACACGAACACGAACACGCACACGAACACGAACACACACACACACACACACACACACACTTCCGTTTCCCTTCCTTTGGGGAAGCGGTTCCTTGATCATTTTAAAACAGGGCAAAAGGCACTTCCACATGGTCGTGGCATGAGCGTGGTATGGGCGGATTCAGCTATGGAACTGCGCTAATCTGATAGTCACCGTCCTGACCACCGACTACCTTATTGGAAAACATCTTGCCGACTACCTCATAGACCTTCAGAGGATTAAACTTGGTGTGCCTTTTTTGTGAGGGTACCATTTTTGGGGTTGGTTAAAAGGGAAACCAACATGAAAGCCACTGTTTTGGGGAACCCCCCAAAAAAGACACCCAACTGTTGAATGCTTTCTGAACAGTCCTTTCTCGGCAGGAAGTGGAGCCGGGCCTGCTACAGATAGGTAGTTTCAGTTTGGCTTCCCTTCAAAACCAGCACTGAACAAGTTCTTCCTTTGGTCCAGATGTGCAGGACATGGGGATCAAGGCTTGCCTTGGGTGTAGCCCCTTAGACCTTTTTGGAGACAAATGGCTTTTCCATCTTTTGCGAGGGGGAACAGCACCCCAGAGGTATGCCCAAGCTTTCTCACAACAGGTTTAGCGTTGTCCTTTTCATACTATCATATATGCCCAACTCCCCCAGACGGCAAAGGTTCATGCTGTGCGGAGTTTCAGGATACAGGGCTTCTCGAGTTTGCACTTGATCTGGCTTTGGTTGACTGGTCCTCTTCGGCTTTAACTTTGGGCTTCAACTGAAATCAGTGTTGTTCATTTGTTTTGGCATACCAGGGTACTTTGGGTCCTTTGCGCAGCATCACGTTGCTTCAACTTGGTTTCCAAGTTCAGACCAACCTGAAAAGAGTACCAACTCCGAGAAGCAAATCGGTTTGTGCGGCTGCAAGCCCCCTGCGGTTCGGGCGGTTTGGCAACACCTCAGGTATTTGGGCGCTTGGCATGTTGACAGGCGGGGTGCTCGGGCTGCCATGCGGTGGTGGCCCTTGTTCAACTTTGGGTTTGCGCGCCTACGTATAGCTTGGCTTCTTGGTTCTCCATGATTTTCCCTTTCAACCGGCAAACCCGGCCAAAATATCCTGATGTGCAATACATTTGAAGAACAGGACCATTTGTGAGACAACGTTGAGAGCATCAGGTGAACTGAAACATCCAAAAAGCTGGTGGGAAGAAGTCATGGGAAAACCGCATGACAAGCCTCACAGACGATTCCTTGTCTTGGTGGATTCATCAAACGCAGAAGCTGCATCGAGAGGTTGTCAACCGATATTGGGCAACAGCTCATGGTGGGCATGGAGTGCATGTGCAAATCCGCCACTTCGGACAATGCCGGAGGGATGCGGCATTTCCGAAAATCAAGTATTCGGAGCTTGCGTCAAATCCTGGAATTCAAAAACGGATGCATGCTACATCCGATCACGCTGACATCAGCATCTATGACGGAATAATCAACTACTCAATGACTGGAAGCTGCAACGCGAATGTGAAGTCTGCCTGTCTGATTCAGACACGGTCCATAGCTCTCCCAACAAATGATAACTGCATGGTGGGATGATGTCGTGGTCAGCGGAGACGCTACATTCATCCCAGGCATCAGCCTGGAATTGAGATCGTACGACGTCGTTTTTGATGATCAGAACACAGATCATAAAGACTCTGGTGAGCGGATCAGACATCACACCAATTGTCAGTCTGGATGCACCAATGATAGGCAATCCGCACGATGACCGTTTTGTGGGCAAAGGCATCATTGAAAGATCTGAACCAGACAATCGGTTGGGTTGCGATAAAGGTCAGTGATGTCAACGGTACCATTGATGGCGACAACTGTTTGGCTATGATCTTAGCCAGTATGAACTCGAATGCGCTGAAGTATCAGCTGAAATGGACGGACGATGAGATCATCAATCAGGTTCTCAATGTGGTAGGACATGCGAGCATGGAATCAGGCGTCAACAGAGAGAGAGAGAGAGAAAATTCAAGATTACACGAAAGTCCATGCAACATGAATGCATGATCCGGATTGCTGGTTTCTTTTCCTTTTTTTTCTGATGCCATGTTTTATCCACCTACATTCCCGGCAATCGTGGCACACCTGGATGAAAGATCAACAATCATGATGGAGAATAATGATTACGATCAACTTCTCGCTAGGCTGGACAGCACAAAGGATTCTATGCAAACAGAATCGGAGTGTTCAATGCAGAAGATGGAGATAGGTTTCCTTTCCTTTGCTCTTCCAAAGGCCGAGGTGAGAGATGTTGCGGTAAAGGGCATCCAGGACAGAGATGGCCTTAGCATGAGATCCCAGAGGGCCCAAGAACATTACGCAAGAGTTCATGGCATGATGTCAGACGCCAACAGAGGTGAAGAAGGACTTCAAAAATATCTTATCGCTGATGGAGGCCATGGTGAATGAGGTTTCAGGTTCAGATAGGGATCGCAACGGCTGCGATGAGGCATTACACGGGACATAACTATGCTTCTTTCAATGCTCTCTTGGTTCGATCCAACCAAGCATTCTCATGCTACGTTAACACTGGACAAGGTGGATCATGGGAGTCGTGAGACGTGTTCTTACCAACCATCATGTTCGAACCAATCATCAAATTCTCCAGGGCTCCTGCTGATTATGCCAGTTGAGCTCTTGTATGCCTCCTCTCCTTTGCTCTGCGGCTTGCCTTGGATGGGTCCACCCTGGCTTCCTTTTCTGTACTCGGTCTCTTCGTGATCTTCCACCTGCTCTTGGAGCCCTTCCTGGGATTGGTGAGCACTCAGCAGCTAGTGCATTTTGCAAAATACAGGAGCGCCGCGCTGGATATGCTGGATTTCTGCGTGCTTGGGACACTTCCGGGCCTCTAGATTTGGTTGCCACCTGGAGGCCCATTCCATGGGAATGCCCGTTTGCTACATCCTTTGGAGGTTTTGTTCCGGACTCTGTTCGTGACCCTTTTGATCTTCGGATTTCCTGGCACTCCTTTTTTCAGGCACGGGACATTTCCGGGACTTGCCGTGGCATCCTTCGTCTTTGTTGCCAACCTTCACTGTTCAGCCTTGAGCGGGGCACCTCTACGGCTTTCCGATGTTTGGTCCTTTTGGTTTCGGCGGGGTTGATGTCACCCCCAGTGGAGAACGCTTGTTTGCTTCGATAGTGTATAAAGCAATACACATATACTCCCATCATTGTTTAGCACCCTGCAACCCAATTGTATCAATCCAGATCCCGGCGAGTGAGTTTCCTCGTGGCGTTTTTCTTCCGCAAGCCTTGGGATCCCACGCAGGCCCATGGGTCCGTGCCCAATCGAGTTCATTTGCCAACAGGTGGCCGCTCCGATTCGTTCATGATTTTGGTTGTAGCACGACCTAAGTGAGGTTTACATAGGGCATTAGCTGGGGCTTATTCAATTTATTAACCACTTACTTGGGGGTCATCCACACCTTTGATACCCGATTTGTGTCGTGCCTCGTGCGCGCATGTTTGTTGCTTGCGATCTCTGTGTGCTTGCAGGAGACTGCCCGCGCGCAACCAGGCCGGGGCCTACGGGTTCAAGGGACTTCACTTGCAAATCTACAGGGACATTTGCAAGAGTTAAACTTACTAGCTGTTGTGTTTCAGTGTTTTAGTGTGTGTTTTGTATTGTTGTTTTTCTAGTTGTTCATGGCCAGTCTCGTTTCAGGTATCCCTTCATTGGTTTAGATTGGTGGTTCTTATAGACGGTAAAAATTGGGGAAGAAAAAGAACTTATCCAAACCACCAATCCAAACCACCAATCAGAGGGAAGCTGATTCTCTGGATATTCAAGACAACCACCAAATGACAGGGCTTTGCACATGTCAAGTATACTTTCCCATGCACTGCGGTGTGGCTGGTTTCTCGGCGTGAACATATGTGGGGTCGCCCAACAATTGCAAAGCTTCAGGGGTGAGTTCCCCTACTCCTTCCATGGATCTTTGTTCACCCAAAAATGGGAGAAGCTGAGAAGCGGCAGTTATTTTGTTCCGGGTAATGAAGAAAGCTCATTTGGGTAAAGGATTGAATTTTGACCTGGGGGTGCCTTCGCTTCATTGTGGAGGTCATTTCCCCCTTCCCTGGGCATTCCCTCTTCCAGTTCGTAATTATCTCGTGTATGTCGCCGCACATTCTGCAGCCCTGTGCGTGCTTCATTGATGAGCCATTGTAGTCCTTTGCCTAGAAGAACGGACATCAACCCCTTTACAAATGGCATCAACTGATTTCTCCTCAGTGCTCGGAGTCATTAAATGGGCAGGCTACAGCGCGGCAAGCTCGGAAGAAGAAGAAGCAGGCAGATACCGGCTCTTGCCGTTTGAACCGCGCGTCTAGTCAAGGTTCCAAAAGGCCCTGGTTTACTATGTTTAACAGGTAGTGATGTCCCACAGCACGAAAGTGTGCAGGCCTCTGATGGAAGACCACGTTCCTTTGGAAATGGGTCCATGGTTTATGCACTTCCATGCATGTTGGCGGGAGGTTAAGCCCTGGCTTATTCTCTAGCACACCTCATCTGCAGGAGGACCGCCCGTCCCCCTGGTTAATTCCCTTCAGGCAGAACTTGGACACATGGGGGTGTCCAACCTAGAGCCTTTGCTTGGCTGCTCGCAGTCTCCACCATCTTGGTTTTATCGTCTGCCTGACCATTAGACTGTGAATCTCATTGCCTTTTGACATATGCCATAACAAAAAGCCCTCCAAACGAACGACAAAATCCTTTACACGTGGCATGGAAAACGCCCACTATGCTAAAGCACCTTGCAACTGCGCGGATTTTTTGGCCCGGAGCCGAGCCACTCGCCAGGAGCTCGAGACCTTTGCCTTCGAGCCGGATGAAGAGGACCATTGCCGCGCGCTCGGGAAGCCGGATGGCGGCTTTGTCTTGAAGCTCATCCCCGAAATTTTGTACCTGGAGCCTCCATGGGATCAATGGGGATTTCCATGCCAATGACCCCGAACTGAACCATCCAGATGGTTTCCCAGATAAGGACCTATCGAACACTGGGGGCTTCTGAGGTTCAGAAGAGCTTGTTGCCAGACATTTCATTTGTATATTTTGATAAGTTATACGAACACATATAGACAGGTGTATAGATAATTTGCAAAACATTAGTGGAAATTATATTTAAAACATGTGAGAATAAAAGATAGTCGATGGTTTATATCGAGAAGTTTACTCAAGCAATGTGTGTAGAGAAGGTTATGTAGAAATCACATGTAAATAGCATTTGAACCCGAATTATGTAGGGATCATTGGAGAACAGATCTTGATCTCAATATTGTTTCTCAAATTTGCATAGATACATGTATGTGGTTTCTAGAACAATATGCATTCGAACATTTTCAACATAGCAAGTAGTTGTTATTTATGGATTGTGTTTTTGGATTGCCTTTATAGTCACAAATGTTTTAGCCCGGCACCTAATTGACAAAGAAATGTGTGTTCGAGTGCTTTTGCCACAACATGTGCCCGAATCAAGTTTTTGAATCTGTGCTCAGTTGCACGGAATTGCGCTCGAAGTTGTGCCGAATTGCGCTCGCAATGTGGGGCACATTTCCGACCTGTTTTCCAATCGGGCAGAACAGAATGCTCCGAAGCCGAATTTGCAATGCAGCATTTATTTCTGTATCAATTGGGCCTCTAGGAGTATTTCTCGGTGGCATCATGGTTGTGTTTTGGTGCCCTCGTGGTGTCCCGATTCTCCTTGTTATGGTGTCCTAGTAGTGTTTTGGTCGTGTTTTCGGGAGTATTCGGAGGTGGCTCGGCGATGCTTATTTCGCACGAAGTTAGCCCAACTTCCCTGTTGTTGTTTTTGCTCAGCCCGCACAACGCATGCCAGGCCAATGGTAAGCACATACGCTCAACTGCGTCCGCTACCTGCAAAACGCATGCCAGGCCAATGGTAAGCACACCCGCTCAACTGCGTCCACTACCCGCGGATCCCATGCAGGCCAATGGCAAGCACACTCGCTCAAGCTGTGGGCAAAGGTTGCAACGCTGTGCCGAAAGCTGAGCAACTGACACCGAAAACCGCGGACCTCAGAAAAAGAAAGAGCTGCGTGCGCCAATGACAATGGGGAAAGCTGCTGGGTTTTGCGAAATAGCGCAAGTAGCATTGTGTTGAGAGGTGAAAAAAACCCAGGCTTTGCGCCTTTGCGCCTCTTGCGCCCGAGTTTGAAACGCAGGGGTTTCTATCAATGCTGGACCCTTGTTTTGCTGCACCTGAGTTCCTGGACTTCATATTGGCAAAGCCATCTTAGTGGCAAACGAAGGATTGGACTATGTTTTGCCAATCCCCAAAAGTGGGTCCCTTAGATTGAGCCGTTTGAGGGATTCTCAAACCTACTTTTGAGGGTGGTGTCCATTTAAGCTACCATGTAGAGGGTAGCTTGGAGGGTGTCACTTGGATGGATTCTATGGCTGGGATATGGCAATTCACTTGAAACAGCAAGCTGAGGCGAGACGCCTGGAAGCGCTTACAAGCGGGGCGCCTTGGTTTTGTATTCGGGGTCCAAGAGTTTACCAGTCTGGGCCAGGCCCCCCCTCAAAAAGGAGGGATGCTTTTCTGTTGTTTTCCCTCTTCGCCAATCCAAAAAAAAGGCACCCTCAAAAAAATGACACACCCACATGTGGGTGTTCGTTTTCGAGGGGCATTGAATTGACGGGAAACCAAAAGGCAAGCCACATATTGGAGGTCCCACATATTGGAGGTCCGTTTTTGGAGATATCGTGTGGTTTCTTCAGTCATGGGCATTTTCAGGCATGTTTTATTCAACAGCGACGGCAAGAATCAATGGAGTGTTGATCAATCCTGGTTTTGGTGCGCGATTTTAAGGGCAGCTTCCTGGTGGGTTCCAGAAAGGCTGCGAGAGGGTTCTGGGGCTGTTGGGCCACCGGCTCCTTGCTCCTGGCTGCGGCGATGGCTCCATATGGAGCCTTAGCGGGTTGTGATGGCACGTTGATGCAGAGATGAGAAGGGTGGTGTGTTGCAGTTGCTCTGGGAATGACCTAGACCGCAAAAAAAGAATCCTTGACTTGAGTTTTAACGGGTCCCTTGTTATATATTCCTGAACCTTCCATTCTTCGGAGAGTCTCCTCCGAAGGAATGATGCGCGCTTTGCCTTGCTTTCTCATCCTGGGACCTCAAAGGGATGCAACCACCAGAAGGGTTCCATGTACTTCCACGTGCGTAGCTGGGCACAGGGAAGCTACCAAAAGCGGGTCCTGGGAAGACAATGTTTCTTTTTCACGAGACCCTTGGCGGGCTCCACTTCATTTGGAGCAAGATGTCAATCTGGAGTTCTCCGTTTTACTCGGAGGAAGATCGTGCTGGCAAGAGACGCATTGGTATCTGGTTTGGGGCCACTCGACTGAGGAACTGAGGCAAACTGTTCTCCTGCCAAGGGTCAGTTAGTTACTTTAACTCCCAGAACTCATTGCCACACTGCGCTGTCCTTCTTACCTTTTTTTGGTTTTCCTTCATTCCCACGTTGTAACTAGCAAGCAGTTGACTGGCCGCAACAGGGTTTAGTTTCCCTGAACTAGAACTCCTCCGCCGTTGTTTGTCATTGTGAGATTGGCAAAGTATGATTCAACATCTGAAAACCTCTTTGTGCATGTACCCTGAAATTGGGCCAAGTTAATTAGTGTTTTTTGTGGTTCGGAGATATTTCCGTGGGCAGCTTCCCATCTGGTTTCAAGGGGAGGGAAGCTGATGTTAACCCAGGATCAATACGCTCCTAGTTAGTTGATGTCCCATTGAAGAAGCGATCTGGATCATTGTTTGAGGGAGAAGTTTAGAAGCATCATCTATTTCTCCACCAGATTTAGTCCGGGGTCAATATGACTTGAATGCTCGGGAAAAGCCCCCCCTGTAAGGGCCACAAACCATTCAGCTCACCCCCACTTGGATGTTCAACCTACTTATCGAATAGGTGTCACGTTGTGTGTCACCATGGCACAATGTCAACCAGCAAGTTGTAACGTACTTAAGTGAGCTGAACATCAAAGCAGACTGTCAAGTACTATGACAACTGGAATGCTAGTTAGAACGGGGTTGGCGGGTACTTCAACTTAAACCCGGACATGTTCATGACATGGAGCCCAAACCCAAAAAGCAGCAGTTTCTCAAGGAATCGGTTTTTGGGTGACTCCCTTTTTGGGTTATATGTTAATCCGTGAGGGGGGCGGGGGCAATGTGTAGTGGCTCAGGCCTTGACGTTAGCAAGAATAAGTTTCTTGGGCCGCCCCACCAGAGAGGCTCTCGGAACTCACTGACTCGCTGTGTTCAGTTCCCGGACTTTAGCCACATTTTGGGAAGACCATTTGCGTGGCGAACACAAGGTTCGTTGACTTTTTCCGGCCAATGTACTCAAAAAGTCAGAGAACCCTTCTACTCGGACTTCCATTTGCTGAAGAATATGTTCTATTTTCCCTTGTTGGTGTTAGAAGGAATTTATCACTACTGGACATATTTTCATTTTTTTCCAGGGGTCTTAACCAAATGGAAGTCTAACAACCTCCTCAGGGCCCTGGGGTAACCCCGGCGGCGGCTTGAGGCACATCGTTCACCTCCTCCGGGAGATCGCCCAAGCGGAGTTCCCGGAGGACCACTGGAGGCGCGAGGAAGCAGAAGCGGGAGCCAGCGCTGCGTGTCTGAAGCTTGGGGAATCCTTATGACTAGCCTCCATAGTGCGCTTTTACCCTTTTTGTGGGAGGGTGCCCCTACTAAAATCGACTAGGGAAAAAAGGGTGCCCTTGTTCTAACCTCTCTACTGGAGGACCTAGATGATCTAGATGAGTGCTTCCCTTTGTTGATGCCCCTTCAAAACAACACCCCACACAACCAAAAAAAACAAAGACACACATTCATGTCCCGTTGTTCTTTTGTCTTTTTTGGAGGGGGGGGGGTTGAGATCAACCGCAAGCCAAGTGTATTTATTCTGGATTCCCTGCAAAAACCATGTTGCACCCTGTCACAAGGTCCATGGGGTTCGGAGTTGGCACTGATCAGCCGTGGGTGGTTCTGGGGTGGTTTGCCGTTTTTACCCTCCACAAGAACCAGGGGTTCAAATCACAAACCAATCCAAACCAGGCTGAGATGATGCGTATGTTGGGTTGATTTCAAAGTTAACTACCAATTCAAGTTTGGGCAGATTGTAGACTCGATCGTCGTCGACGACTCAGGGTTCGAAGTTGTTTGCGTGTGGTGCGTAAAGCGGAGGCAAGAACCACTGTGCCAGTTGCCCGTTCTGGGACGAATGGAGGTTGTTTGAACAGTTGGTGATAATGGTTTAAACAGGGAGAACAGTTCCTCCTGATGCGGGGATGTGTCAAAGCGTTCACAAGCCCAACTATTTGGCAGGCCGTAATGTTGACACATTGCCAGCTCGTTATGCAGGTGCCATGGTTAGCATGTCGATTCTGTGGCAACGCCAAGCATCCAAACGAGCAAACGCAACTATTTCGCACCATTTGTCAGCCTGTAATGATTTCAGGGCAACTGGGTTGTCGTTGATGTAAGACTTGTGATCAGAGTTTGAGAACAACCTGACCAAGGATTTTCCGTTGCAGATGGGCAAGGGCCTTTTGTGTTGTAAGGGTGTCCACGAGCTTCAATACCTGCAGGCATCCTTAAGTTCAACTTGGAGAACCACCCCACTTAGCAACTGGCTTACTCCAATGCCATCAAAGGGCACTGTTGCCACCATGAATTGGTTGCAACCTTACCAGAAATGGTGCCCGAGCAACAGTATCCAGCTGACTGCCGCAGGGTCGCGTCAAAGAAGATACGCATCTACGACCCGCCGGGCCCTGAAAACTCGGAAGCGCATTGACACGACCTTTGGGTGAAGATGAGCTTTTGTCTTTTCAGCCAAGGTTCCAAAAGGCCTACCTTTCACGTCCACATTTGCATAGCAGGAGAGAAAGGCAGCGCGCTTGTAAATCGGCCTGCTGCACGGCAGAAGCAATATCTACGCCCTAGGAGTTTGGTAGGGCGTTGGGCAGGGAAAAAGAGAAATAACCAACAAACAAGAGATACCCTCAAAAAGGACACCCATATTGTTAAGTGAAGATCCCGAAAGGCTCGCAGAACTCTATCGGAACCTCGGTCACTTCTCAGAACCCTTCCGCGCGGTAAAACCAGGTTTGGTCATGCCATGGTCAAGAAATACTGCCTGTTTTTCGCCCCCTTAAGTGGGGCCCTGGATGGGTGTGTCTTGGTTTAGGCCTCCCGCACAAAAAGTGCACGCAACATGGTTTTACTGTTGGTTTGTTTCCCTTTACGACAGCTAGAAACTCACAGGGAACCATGGTTGGTTTATTTTCCCGTTGGTTTATTTTCCCGTTGGTTTATTTTCCCGTTGGTTTATTTCCTGTGAGTTGGAAAACGACAAGAAACTGAGCACCAACAAGATGACAACCCCGGATGGTTTCCACCCAGGTACTACTGCCAGGGGGGCGTGAAGTCGCGACTGGCGCGCCTGGGCTTTGAGCCGCTCGTATGGCATAGCCGCGGGCCCTGAGAACTCGGCTTTGGGCTAAGGGTACCTCCAAGTCGGTACCACCAGGTTCCATTGCCCGACCTATGTTTCACGAGTTTTGCCCTTTGGGATTTCCATGTCCGCTCTCCACCTGAAGCCTTCTTTTTTTGGTAGGGGGTCGAAGTCTCTAGTATCTGGTCTGTCAGTGTGGTTGAAGGGTTGAGGGGCCGAGGTATCCAATAGACCCGGCATCCAGTAGCCGCTGGGCAAGCACATGCATTGAGTTGGTTGCATCTTTCGCCAGAAAAGTGGCCGTTGGAGGACGAATCCCAGGTATACCACTTATATCCATGGTCGCTCTCTGAATTAGAATTGTGCTCATTGCTATAAGGACCAAGCTGAGTCCTCTCCATTGTCCCAGTTGTTGTCAGGGAATCCTATCGGGGTTCGAACCTCTGCATGATCCCAGGAACGTTTACAACGAGAATGAGGACTTCTACAAAGTTTGTGCGCAAGAGCAAGGCATTTGGCGAGAGCTTCGTGCAAAGTTTCTTCGGTGTCCGGCAGGCATTCAGATAGCCTCGAGCCGTTTGGGTTCGGGATCACGAATCAACCCCAAAGCAAGCCGTTTGGGTTCGGCCAGGGTCCTTGGCAACTGCAAATAGGGATTACAGAAATTAAGGTCTGATCGGTGCCAAGCGTAGATAAGCTGGAAAGCCAGCACACTGAGTTTGTTCGACCAATTTGGAAGCCCCAACTCTCCAAACAGAACTGGACGAAAGGCTGGCTGACGTTTTCGAACCTTCAGCGAGTGCCTTTGGAAGGGTAAGCTGAGGGGTCGAAAGGCTCGGGTGTTTGCCGCAGTGCAATGGGAACGGCTGAATGAACCCCTGGTTGATATACAGGCGGTGTCCCGAGATGACTTTGAGAAGAAAACCAATCCTAATAATCCACCGGGTTTTTTCGTGCGGGGTTAATATCAACAGATAGCCAGCTAGCCGATCCGTAGCTCCATGTTGAAAGGAAATTGTCATGACACCAAGCGTTTGAGCCGCAATCAAAACCAAGTTGGATATAATAGAGTTCACAGACAGTCCCTGCCCACAAATACGGCCTGTTCAGTATATACATAATTAGGGAGGACTCCTTGAATGCAAGATATTTGAGGCCCCATTTTCTACATATTTGCGTTTGAGCACACGGAATGCGCAAACTGTCTTGCCAAGCAGCGTGTCAGCTTCTTGCGTTCTACTTGGCAGTTCCCTGAGATGGCTTTGTCTCACCCAAAATAAGCCAACCTGCAAAGGGTACCCTCAATCGAACAAACACTCAGCTGGGGATGCCCCCCCCAAGGAAAACAACAACAAAGTCAAAAAAAGAAACACACAAAATGAACAATCGATGAATGGTGGCTTGCCTTGGCGAGCCTTCACTTGCCTTGGCTCACCCGGATTGCACCCCTAAAGCGGGCGCCAAGTCTTGGTTCTTCAAGGGAGATTTCCCCTGATCCTGCACGCTTCCCCACAACTTGCTTGTCGAAAAGGCAACCTTTTGTCGTTTCGGTTTCAGCCAGTGCTGGTCCATTTTTCAGTCAAGGCGCTCAACGGCTAACCTTCTTATGTGCAAGTCCCTGCAGAGAAACATGGAACACACTTTGGGACCCTCCTTTGGGGGTCCCATCTTTATGTTAATATGCAGTGAGCAGATCCTTCTGGCCAAGGCCATGGCTGAACCACCGGGTGACCCAAAGAGGGCAAATAGATAAGGTTGCCAAGGGCCCGCTGACCCCTCTGCTGAGCGCCAGTGTTCAGTTATGGGTGTGCCTTAAGATAGGGGACCCCCCGTGCAAAAAACCAAAGAAGTGGTTTTCCTTTTGGCTTCCGTTTCAAGCAACCACCAAAAGGGTACCCTCAAAGAAAGACACCCCCTTATGTTTCCTCAAACTGTCAACATATTCTGTGGTACGGCTTCAAAGGGAAACAGATGGTCATCGCAGCACTCGGAGTAAAATGAATTCCCCGTTTTGTTGTTGTTTGGGAAGGGTTTCTCTAAAATCCACCAACAACATGAGCCCTTTTGTCCCATGGCCGCCATGCTTCTGAGAAAAAGATCTTTGCTCTTGGAGAGTCCGCCTACCATTTGCAAGACGCTGTATTCACTCCGGTCTTGCCGGTACCCCTCCCTGCGGGTCTATGGGAGATGTGCTTGCTTTTCCAAGCACAAGTCCTTTTGTTTGCTCCCTCCCTTTATTTGGTTCAAGGGTCTTGCACCTCTTCACCTTCGGGCTCATGGGCCTTGCGCCAGCCTTTTGCCTTTCTGGGTGGGTGTGATTTCTTTGGTGGATTTGTGTCCCCAACCATTTGGGGGGGGGTTCCCGATGAAATTTCATGGCCAGGTGCGGTTGAAACACGGGCACCGGTGATCAAACAGTTCATCGGGGTGATCAAACTGTTCACCCCGGTCCCTTGTATATAGAGAGTGGGTTTGTCTCAAATAGGGAGAGCCTCCAGAAAAAAATAACGTCTTTTGGGTTTCCCTTTAATGGGAACTGACTGATTGATAAGCGGTGTCCCCCTTTTTAGTTGGGATTCCGGGGAGCACTCCCCCCATGATGCAAACCGGTTTATTACTCCGGAGACAGCATTAACAACCACCAAACGAGTCAACAAAAAGATACAGCATCAAGGTGTAGGATGTCAATTGAACACGATGGCAGTTCCTGGCTTCGACGTGCTGGTGACGAACCCGCCCTTCTCAGCCGATGAGATCTGCTGGCATGTTGGGCCCCGAAATTGCGAGGTCCACTTCGCAGTCTGGGACACGACCTGAATGCTGTTTGAGCAACAGGCTTTATTGACATTAACTTGGGGTTGGCCCAAGCCTGTGGATGGACCCCTAAGTAGAATCAATTGCCTTAGACAACCATGGTACGATTTGATACGGGTTCCCAAAGAGCCAAACAAAACCATGACTCGCAAGCGGAGTCTCTCTCCCTCTCTGAGGCCTGCTTGAAGCTCTATGTTTGGGGATGGTCCCGAGCCAGGCCTTGAGCGTATTTGGCTCTTAGTCATTATCTTAATATAATCTGTTTTGTTGCTTGCAAAAAAGGAAAAAGCAACTCCTTGGCTAATATGGGCAGGTATTTCTGTGGAGGGTACCTTTTTTGGAGTTTGGTTGCGAGGCAAACCAGGAAGCCGATGATTTCGGGGGCATCTTGGCTCATGAGATGCCCTTCCGCGCTTCGAAAGCGCCAGACACTTTGCTGTTGCCCTGGACTTTGCCATCCGCAAGCAGAAGCCCTGGTTTATGGCCCGGCCCTCAGCTACATTTGTTGTTTTGCCTGAAGAAGCCGGTCCAGCCTCACAGAAACTTGCTTAACACTGCGTGCCACAAAGGAACTAACAGAAAGCGGCGGAAAGGCTACTTTCTGTCTGGGAGCTGTCCGTTGTGGACCAGTTTTGGGCTGCTGTCGGTATCTATGTTTAGCATGGCTCGTTTATGCTTGGTTGAGACATCATTTGTTGGTTGCGGATTGAAAGCGATTTTTCTCTTGGTGGTCTGTGATGTCTTGAGGATGGAATGGGCGCGTCCTTTTTTGAGGGGATGGGAATGCAGTTGCGTCGCTTTCCGATGCACCCTTGGTGGGTTGTTTTTTTTTCAGGATTCAGCGTCGTCGCCATGAGCGTGGATATAGACTTTACTTTGTTGCCAATTTGTCTTCAGCGCCCCGGCAGGGGTTTGCCTATTAAAACTCTGAGTGAGAGTCTGGCATTCAACGTGGTTGAGTCCATGCATGATGTGTTCCTGCAAAAGTCAGAAACTGTGCAGCCCGCTCGGTGTGAAGCAATGTGCTGCCCCACGCACATAGAAAGAGTGACCTCCTCCCCCTGCAGGATTCAGCGTCGTCGCCATGAGCGTGGATAGTTTTCCGCGTATCTGTCTGGTCCCGCGTAGGATGTTCAACCGTTTCTGCTCCATGTTCTCCCAGACTATCTTTAAGGCAACCTTGCTTTCAGGCCAAGTTGGTGACGTCTTAGGATGGTAATTTGGTTGTCCTTTGTGTTGATGGCCTGAAAATAGGTGGTGCCCTGAAGGGGTTTTCTTGCAAAAAAGGAGGTTACTCTTTCTATGTGCGTGGGGCAGCACATTGCTTCACACCGAGCGGGCTGCACAGTGTCTGACTTTTGCCAGGAACACATCATGCATGGACTCAACCACGTTGAATGCCAGACTCTCACTCAGAGTTTTAATAGGCAACCCCTGCCGGGGCGCTGAAGACAAATTGGCAACAAAGTAAAGTCTAAAGGCAAGTATGCAGAAGCCATGCTGAATTGAAGTTTGTATAGAGAGGCACTGTTCTAGGGACCCTCGCTCCCAAAGCCCCCCCCGCCTTGTTTTTCCTTCACACGGCTTATTAGCCCCTTAGCAGTTGGCGGAGCTGTCTGTGAGGTGGTTACGGGCCTGAATCCAGGCCTTTGCTTGAGTTGTTCTAAAGGGCAAACAAAGAGACACCATTTAGTTTTAAAAAGATCCCCCCCCCACTTGTGTGGCCTTGCTTTGCCTTAAAAAGGTTTTCTTATCCCAAAACGGCCAGGGGAGTTGTGTTTCTGTGTCTTTTCCTTGTTTTTCTTGGGGGAGGGGGCGGGGAAGGGGGGAGGGATGGTTCCACCTGAGATACTGCCGGTGCACCTGGTCTTCCGAAGCCTCTTCGTGAAGGCCACCGAAGACCTGCCCTGCAGGCGAGGTCAGTCCGCAGAAGCCCAAGCTGCAAGAGTCCAAGGCGGACTTGCTCTAAGAATCCTTTGGCGCATTTTGCTTGGATGTTAGGACTTTAACTTTCTGCCAACCAATGGGTCTTCCATTAAACCTCTAAAAGTTGAACTTTTAGCAGGGGAGCAAAAAACAACCGAGAAACGGGTTGCAGCTCAATCATGATCACAGCATCCGAGCGGAACTCTTTCGTTCGAACCAATTTAAGGCCAGCCAGTCTGAGAGTTGATGCCTTTGCCATTTTGTCACCCATCGTTCTGAGCACAACATGGAAGAGAAGGATGCCTAAACTGAATGGGGAGGGGGCAAGAACCCAGGATCCTCCCAACCCGTTGGCCAGTTTTTTGGCTAAGATGGAAGCACCCCTACAAATACTGAAATATTGGGATAAGCCACCCATCCGAGCTGGTGCCGATCGGCACGGGTTTGGTCCATCAACAGTGGGGCGTTTTTGTTTGGGGGTAGCTTGCAAAAAAAAATGGTTTCAAGGGACGGACGGCTCAACTTCGTGATGAATAGGGTGGGTGTGGCCCCATTTCAGGACGTGTGTTACAAAGTTCGATGTTCAGTTGTGAGCACCTGCTGAATATTGACCATGGCTCATATGATGACCCACGAACCTACATCGGCTTGTTTCGAATTAGATCCTCCGATTGGCTAGCTTCCTGTTGGTTGGCATTGACAGGCCACCAGCGTAGGGCTCTGGATAAGGTCATGTCTTCGATTTGGTTCACCACCTTGCGCGCCACATGTGCGGTTGCTTCGGGGCTGCTGTCATCAACCCCAGAATTTGTCGATGCTAGACGGCTATAGGTTTCTGTCCAGGATGTCATGACCATTTGCGGAAGGAGTGTTGACCGTGCCTTAGATGAACAGACGTTGGGTTTGGCCATGAAGGCCTTCGCATTCGCAAACTTGAGCGGTCCACCCCAACACCCTGTCACCTACCTGGCCGGTTTTCCCCCGGACAATTCTCGGCTTCCACGGAGTGTCCCAAGAATGGGCGCGTCGTGCTTTGCTTTGTGGCACGGGGAGAGCTTTTTTTTGGGTTGCTGAAAAGAAAGGAGCACTACCCATTTGGAGGGCCCCCAATTTTGCGAGCTCCATGAATGTGGTGCCCCTTTAAAGTAAACTTTAAAGGGATCAGTGACCCCAGGCCAGTGGCGCTTTCGCCTTTTCTTTTTTCCAGCCATATCCGCTGGGCTTAGCGTGCAAGCCCTTGCCCGCGGCACGGTCGAGATCATCGCAGGCCTTTCTTCTTGGCGCCGCCCAAGAAGTGCGGCTCAACGGGCGGCTTTACCCGCCCTCTGTCCAAAGCAAAAATCGACATGCTGTTCCTTTCAGTTCCCAGAATAAAGTACATACTTCTTGGCTTTCCTGGTTACTCACCTATCTTTTCAAGGGGTATGTTTTGTTGGGGAGAGGGGTTCGAACATCAGCAAGCCTTTGGAGTGGTTTACTCAAGGGTAAAAGGGGTATGGAGCCTGAGGGAGATCATTTCCGGGGAGTGCGGTCCTCCGGCTTATTTGTCACAAGCCAAAGGTCTGACAGGATCGCGAATACGGGCTTCCTCGATCAACACACCTTCAACTAACTTTCCCAAAGCGAATCGACGTGTTAACCTTTCAGTTGTCCTTTGGGCAATTCAGTCAAGAGATTCTGATGTTGCCCCCTAGCCCCTTTGATGCAAAACACATTTGTTTCAAAATACGGATTTGGACCCCAAAACAGCGTTGTTGCTTTTGGCGTCCCTTTGAAGCCACCCCAAAAGAGTATCCTCAAACAAACACATCGAAACAGGCCTGTAGAAAGTACATACCCTGTTGATACAAGAAGACCGCTGAAGCGACATCATTTTACACATTAAGGTTCACTTGATGTGGTTCAGAATTCAGGGGCAAGTGATTTTTGGCTGGCAACAGAGGTGGGTCGTGTAGGCCTGGTGGCGTGAGGGGAGTGGAGACTCTTCTGTTTTAAGGTTCACCAAAATATGAGCCAGAATCCAAAAGCAGGTTTGCTTCAACATGCCTGGTCGACGGTCCATTTGGGAGGGCCATGTACTCACCAAGTCTGTCTTGTGGGAAATGCCACCCCCAAGTCAAATGGAAGCGTGGGTGGGAGGGCAATATCAGGGGCGAAGTAGTTACAAACCAAGGGCAAAATACGGGGACAAATACAATGACGATACAAGGTGCAGTATAAGGTGATCATGAGAAGATTAGATTGAACAGTGCCCCACGACCCCATTCGAATGATTCAGAGCCTTCTGGTAAGCCTCTTGAAGCTTGCAACTTCCACAGAGCGCAGGTACAAGTTCCGGACCCCGGCGCCTCTGCCACCGCCTAAGCTTGACAAGGCCAGGCTGGTGGCTTCCTATCAGGGGCCGCTAGCTTTTGACCAGTCGTTGTGGAATATTGGTTTTTGGGTTGCCACTTTCTGTTCAATTCTTCTTCAAAAGTGATATTCTGCAAGTCGTGACCCTATTGATATCACAGATTGCGGGAGTTGTTGGATAGCGATGAAATACATGTAAGACACCGGCACAAAATGTTCTAAAATGGGGTTGGACCACGAAACAATGTGTTTGTTTGGTCCTTTGGGTGTTGGTTTGTAGACACTGTTTTGATCAGCAGTTCAAAGGAGATCCCTAACACTAGGAGACACCGTGTTTTATTAGAAGGTGGCAGCGGCCCAACTTTTGCCCAAGCTCCAATTGTGTGTCTGGAGGAAAACATGTTGTGTGTGTGTGGGTGTTCTTGTTCTTGGAGGCTGCCATGCTCCTCATTTAGACAGTAGTGAACAGAATGAGTTTACGTGTTGGGTCAATCCGGGCTGCTTGCTTGAACTTACTGCAGAGCAGGACTTCCAACGACTTGGGGTCTGCCTTGGTGCGCAGGAATTTCACATGGATTTCAGAAATTCCATTTGTGTTTGCTGGGTTTCCCCCAAAGATGGTCGCAAAGAGGGTAACGCAGACATTTGTTTACGGCACCATGGCGGAGGTTCAACATACATAAATAATGCCTTAGATGCGTATGGATGTGTCAATTAATGGATGCGTCAAAGCTCGGCTTGTGGTTTCATTGGTTTCACATGTCCAGGTAACCTTTGTTTTGTTCGAAGGGAGAAGCCTAGGACAACATCCTGAACCCCAAAGCTGTCAACCCAAAACCCCAAACCTTCAGCCATTTGCACGGGATCTTTCCAACAGTGGAAGTGGACAGAAGGAGCTTTGAAGACTTTCTTTTGAACCGCCTCCTTGTCCACTTCCGTGATTGTTGGAAACAGGATCAATCCAACCCTAAAATGCTCAAACCCCAACAACCCAAAAACCCAAACCAAATCAAGCCACATGGCTTCCTATGGTTTTTTCTCGTCCAAGTCCGCGTGTCAGGAGGGAAGTTATCTCCGGAATCGGCTGACTCATACCTTGTGGGTCGCCCACGGCCCGCGGCTGAGGGCTCGAATTTGGAGACAGATGGAGCTTGATCAATATTCCGTCTAGGGCCCCCAGGTTTGACCATGGGTAACTTTTCTCATGTGGGAAGTATCATCTTTTTAGTGGTTTTCCAACCAATGGTCATCCCATGGTTTGTGGACCTTTTAAACCCCCAGATGCGGGGGCAGATGCGGGGCCCAAATCGTTTGGATGCGCGGTTCTTCGCTTCGGCGTGTTCCGCTTCGGACGAATCCGGACCTCACCAATGCAGGACCCCCCCGCAGCCCGAGTGCAACAAATTCATTGCAACATATTTGTGCACTAAAAGGCGGACCCCTGTACATGTTTTGTTTAGCGGTTCTCCTGAGAAAAAGAAATGAGGGTGCCATTAGATTGCTTCAAATTCGGCACACCAACATTCTTAGAGACAAATCCATGTCTTTTGTGACTGTGATCCCTTTAGCAAGTTTTTCGGTCATTGTTGACTTTGGAATCTGGGGCATGGAGGGCGCGATTGGGAGATGTGTGTGTGTGTGTGTATGCTTGAATCACTGGAGTCCCTGAACATATTGACCCCCAGCATACCCTTCCCAGTCTAGGGACCCTTCCCTTTGGGCGAACACCCTCCGAAATTGTCGCCAATGGGGGTGATGGATTCTTGAAGCTAGCCCAGAAGTTCTACCTGACAAAAGTTTGCAAACAGACTGGCTTCGACATCTTCTGCCACTCTTGCCGATTGAGTCGACTCTTGGCTCCAAGATGCGTAGCCTTCAGCAAGGCATGCCATGCGATATTTTTTCATGTTCCAGATGAGCAGCATCCCAGAAAGACTGTATTATTTGTTCATTTTCTGTTGGAGAGTTTCCCTTGAAGGTCAAGTACCGTAAAACAGAATAAGCACAGTTTCTTCCATGGCCGCCACAAATGGGATTTCTCCCTGGAGCCGGGACACTTGAGTTAATGGCCAAGTGATGGCTCAAAATGAAAGATCTAGGGTTGAGCATGTTTTAGTCTTTGTTTCCAGTTGCCAAGGTGCCATTTTAGCGCGTCCATATTTTGAGCCAATGGCCCAGGGTTCCTGAAGCTGGTTCACCCCGGCTCTCCCTTGCGCTGATCAAGAGCCTACGGCTAAGAACCTCTGGCTAAACACCCAACCCGTATATCAAATAGGGCCACCCCGGAATGGCTGGGCGCCCCGCCCCCCTTTTCCCAGACAACAACTGGACCTAAAAGGCTTGTTGCCTGTTGGTTTCCATGTGATGTTTAGCTTCCCATTTTATCTTTGAGTGGTGTTTTGGTTTCCATGTGTTGGTTCAATTCCCATGTTAGGGGTGTCCTGTTTAATCATTTAACCCACCGGAAGAGACAAGTACCCTCAAACCATTTTTCGCGCGCGATGGTCACACCGCCATGGCCAGCGACACATCTGCGGATGTCGAGGCCTCAAAGAAGCACATGAAGATGTGTGTGTGTGTGTGTGTGCGGGGGGCGCTGGTCTGAAGAAGATCCTGTTTTGGATGAAACATAAAAACCCGATCCAGAGGTTGCACTTCTCGGGCTTTCTCCAGGGCTGGGAATGACCCCCCCCTCCATACTGCAGGGGCGGAACCAAATGAGGGGCAATTTGCTGTTTTGTAGTGCGTGTTTTCAAGGGGAAGGGAATTATGGACCCTTTCTGGCGCCCTGAAAGGGTGCTGGAGCCCCAAATGTGGTCTCTATGTTTGACAGCCCCAATGCGTAAGCACGCCAATGGGCAATATTGCCAGATCGGTTTTAGGGGGCTAAAAGGGCTTACCCGTTTACCCCCAAAACCACGCCCTCTGGCGAAAATGGGTTAGCAACCTTTTTCCATTTGGGGGTATTGGACACGCTCTTAGCCCCCTTGTCAGTGGGTTGTTGTTGCTGAAAGTCAACCCGGTGAACCTAAATACTGTAATTACTGTTGACCTGGAATTGCAGGACCTACTCTGGATCAACGCTTGGTAGTATCTCACATGTTTGCCCCCTTCTAAAATGAATCAACACATCCCAGGCACGAGTAGAGGCTAGAATGTTAACCAGGTATTAATTATTGACGCCTGATTCAGGGTTGCCCCACGTTGAATGTATGGAAATTTCTCTGGGGGGGGGTTGAACTTGCTTGAAGCAAAACAAAAGGGCAAACGGCAAGCCTTGGCCGGATGTTGGGTGCCCCACCCCCCAAGGAGTCGTTATGGCAGGTTTGGGGCTTGCATAATGTGCAGTGGGGTTTACCTGAAAGTCACTTGACCTGTTCAGATCTAGCTCGAGTTGGGGGCAATGTTGTTGTTTATGTATGTTTGTTTGATTAGCTTTTATATCTATGACTGATATAGTTGCGTATTTATTTGGAAACACGCATGCGGTTCCCAACTCCCGCACGCGCTCTGCGAGGTGCCCTGCGAAGTGCGCAGCGTGCCCCGCGCGCCCGAGACGCCGATTGTCTCAGGCTGCCTCGCGGCCGAGTGGGTTCGGTTTTGCTCCAAGCAACATCGCTGGGGTCTTCTCCAAGACTTTTTGCAGTTTGGGATAGACTAAATATGAAAGTGAAGCTGACTAGACAACTGCCCTCCTGACGTGAGGACTTGAACGCCGTATCGCTGAATTCGGTTTTGGTGTTTGAAGGTTTGGGGGTTTTAGGGTTAGATTGATTCTTTTTCCAACCATCACGGAAGCGGAGGCTCCCAAAGGAAAGTAGTCGGATCCGAAACCTTCCGATCGTCAGCCGCTATGATTGTTGAAGGGAGATGGGCAGGGTACTTTAGGGTAGACCAAATATGAAAGTGAAGCTGACAGTATATGTTTTGTTTACCGATTTGTGCCAACAAAGTGATTGTCTGAATATGACACAGAGTCAGAACACATTTTATTTTAGGATCCGAGTTGGATTGGTTTAGAAAGCTGGTTTTTGACCAGGCTGCAGATGATGCTTGAGGACGCAATGAAACCCCCTGACAGATAGGGTGGAGTGTTGATGGATTGGGATTGCTGAAGGTGTGCTCCTTGTGTGAGGGCATGTTGTTTGAGTTCTGCAGGGAAATCAGAGGGAACCAACTGATTGCGGGGTTCCATCCGGAGACCAACACATTTAAACAACAGCTGAGAGCGATCAAGTTTCTTTTGAAGAAAGGTAACCGCAGGGTGCCAAAATAGATGTGGCAGAAGGGTTTGTGCAGAGCGCGGGATCTCGTGGAAGCTTCCGCAGAGCATAGTGTAAAGTCTAGCTTTGCGGAAGTCAGCGGAAAGTCTGATCTGATTGGCTTGTCTTGCACACTGGAAACAAGGAGCTTCCAGCAAGTAGTATCTCATTTGATTTTCCCAGAAAAATTGCCTTCGCTCATGCAAGTGCGCAATCAAAGCTTGTGCGTAGCAATGCGAGTTGCTACTGTATTGACTCCACCAAGCCCAGCAAAAACGTGACACTTGCAAAAGCTGCGTGGCTTCCCGTCCCAAATTATGACGTTCTGATTCTGGTCGCTGCTCAGCTCTTTGGGATTTGTTGTTTCGGTTGGTCATCAAAGGAGACACATGCCACCAAACGGCCAAAAGCTAATGTTCGAAGATTTTCGAATATTTTCGAAGCAGCTGCTGAAAAGTGGCAATGGACCCTTGACTTCACCAGGTTCTAGGTTTTGCACAAACCAATCCTTTCAGGGATGTGCTGTTTGAACATGAGGAAGAGCAGTTGCTCATGACCAATGCACCAAGGAAGTGAGACACCTGTAAACTGCAATTCAAAGCCACCAGGAACTCCCTAGCCTCGATAAGAACACACCCAGGCCAGTAAAGTCATGTCCTTTGCCTATGGACGAAATGCTGTTTGCCACGGGACATAGATGTCCCTGCCACACGGGAAGCCCAGCTCCCAATGTGGCTGGAATTCTCAATAGAGAACCCCCTCCAAAGTGGGTGTTGGACATCATTTCCCAGTTCGGTGTCCACGGAGGGCCCCTTATCGAGGTTCAGACCCATTCTGTGGATGGACGAAACCCTGCACCTCTTTGAAACCATAAGAAACCATTGTTTGTTGGTATTTACCAGGAGAATCATAATTCCAGGCTTTCTGAACGGTGGTGCAAAATGGATTTCGCAACCATCAGCCACGCCTCATGTGCCTTGAAGCAACTCAAAGCCCTTCGCCAGGCGCGCCGGGGTCCCTGGTGCAACTGCCCTACGAGGAGCCAGGGGCCAACCGCCAGCTTTGGGTCCATTGGCTGTTGGGTATGCGTTTTGGAGGGAACCCTTTTGGCTCACCGTGGTTTACAGGAAATCCAGGAGAAGCGCCTACGCTTTTCGAGGCCTCCCCATTTTGACAATGTTCAATTGATGTTCAGGCCAAAATAGCAGGGCTAGCTTCATATGGGTCAAGACTCAAGTGGGCTCTAATCATCTCTAATTAATCAGTTCGTCACAGGGGGTTGCCTTCTTGGTGTCCATCGCTCAAGCGCGGTCTAGCAATGATCATGGGACCGTTGGTGATTAATTGCATTTGTTGCCAGCGGCACCCTGCCATTGATAGAACTTTGGTTACTCACCATGGTTGCAGCAAACCAACTGTTCATCCGTGTTGTCCAGTGAATGGTGCGTTCAAGTTGTTGCTATGTTGTTGGGTTATGTTTCGCAGGAGGCGGTGGCACACATCGAGCAGGACCTGCTGGCGGCGCTGAGATGCGCGGACAGCGGATCCTACCCGCTGCTGGGGGCCTGTGAGCCTGGGGAGCTGTTGGGCTTCTACCAGGAGGTGGCTGAGCTTTTCCTCGGGGAGGTGGTGGGGTGGGGGGAGGTTGAGAGTGTGGGGGTTGGGTGGTACCACCAGTTTTACTGCTTGTTTAATCGGGGGTTCACGAGAGAGTCTTAAACCGAACAATTTCACAATCTACGAAGGACCCCTTAAAGCCCTTTCTGGCGTGGGGAACCCAAAAAGAAAGTAATGTGGACTTTCACTGATTTTGTTTGTCAAGATGTCATCAATCACCCACATGATTCCAGGCCAAGCTCTTAGCGGAGCCCCAAACTTCCCTGAGGGAGCCATTCTCAAGTTGAACTCTAGCGGTCCATGGCAAAGGCCTTTGAGCCTTGGGCCACAAACCCTTCAACATCGAAATGTGATTTTCTCACCCAAGATCCAGTTGCGGGTATATGTTCGGGCCTTTTTTTAGGGGTGGTTGTCTCAAGGGCATCGAAAGGCAACCGAGTCAACCGAGGCACTCTACTGAGTGCCTCGAAAGGGCTCTCTCGGTGACAAACCCCTCCAATGCTTGGGGTGGTAGAAGCAATGGGGCCACTCAGGTTGTAATCGTGGTTAGTAGGATATGTGGAATTGGTTCCCGAAACGCGGACGACCACCAATCCGAGTAACCAGTCCACACCACCGCCAGAGTTTCATTTGGGTGTGATTGTTGAGCGTACCTCTTTTTTGTGGTGTTAAAGAAATACCAAATGGCAAACCACCGTTGTGGGGGTCCTCTAAAACAAGACACGCCCATTTGTTGATTGCCCCAAGTTGGACTTGAACGTGGTCAACCCCAAAAGGGTTCCCGGTGTCCTTCTACCAGGGTCACGCGACCTTTTGGACCTTGGTAATCTCACCAATGAAACGCTGCGCTAGCCTCACCGGTGTCGAGCAAGTGCTTACCGATTTGATGGGTTTCGAGCAGTTCCACCGATTCGGGGGCAAAACGATGACCATGATGAAGGTCATGTGGCGGAGAACTGTAAGCGTTTTGCAGGTTGATCTGATCTTCCTTTTTGCTCAAACATATGTGTTATTTTCCCCTGTTGGTTTTGAAGCGGATCTATCACTGTTAGAAAAATGCGTATGTTTTTCAGGATACTTAAGCAGACGGAAGTAATCGTATCAAATGGAACTCAGCTCTGGTTTTGGTGCGAGCCAGAAATCGCCAGCTGCCAGGTTGTGCAGCGCGGGAGCACCCGAGACACCTGGGATGCAGTGATGCCAGTCTGGCTCGCTTGGGCGAGTGCCGCCTCAAGGTCTAAGGGGATGGGTCGAATGATTCATGGCACCCAACCAATAAGTCCCAGAGGCCTTATTGTTGCATTGGAGGAACTGTCCTTTCCTTTTCTCTTGGCTGGGCTACACAGGCTCGGAAATGGGCTCCCAGCGTCCGACTTCCAGGGGGCGCGATTTGGTTTCCCATGGCTTCCATTTGGAGCAGCGAGGTCTGTTTGGAACCGCTGGATTTGGGGGTCCCAACCTGTTGGTTTCTTCTAAAGTCAGCCTACAACTTCCGCCTTTCCTGGGGATGGCGCCAGGTACCAGCGCATCAGCAACTCCTACGCTGCGAGGCGTCCAGAGCTGATCTGGCTGGACGACAAGGCATCTGGTTACGAAGGTTGAACGCCTTGGCCAAGGATCGTTAGATGGCTGGCTTTCAAATGAGACGAGCACATGGATGACGGGATGAGAGATTTCCAACCACTGCTTGCTTTTGGGGAGCAAATGAGCAGGGATTGGCAAGACAAAGAAGCAAAAGGATTGATGGGACTTCTTGGGCAGGGGGGTAATAGTCATCATTTTTTCTAGCTTGAAGGCTTGTAGATCTGCAGAGACCCGTTTGGTTTCTGTGGGCTGCCAGATGATTTCAACACTCATGGTTTGTGTTCCAAGGAGGTCCAAGGATTTAGCACTTGCTTCTGTATTTTTTTCTTTTTATTTTTGTTTTATTTTTTTTTTGTTGGAGGGGACGCGCCCAGCATTTCATGGCGAGCTCAGCGTGCAGAGATAAAGCCAGCCATTCTACTCATGAAGGTCCCGTCAGACCTCACTTGGGGAGTTCTCGATGCAGGTTGGTGAATGAGAGAGACATACGCGCAGATGCCATCTCATGGGGCTTACCGCCGAGCAAAGGAATAACTACGCGGCGCATTACAAACATCCTGGCAGCCGGACAGGAGTCCTAAACCAACACTAACCTTAGCCCAAGCCAACGATACCATTTGCTGAGTTTCCCGTGAAGCAAACCACTAATATCACACCCCTTTTGTCCAAGGGCCCAAGCTGAAAAAAAATGGCCGTAAAATGGCCGTGCTTTTTATGGGTCTTCTCCCAAACTTGGGGACTACCTTGGGGACCACCTTGGGGACTACCTTGGGGACTATCTTGGGGACTATCTTGGGGTAGACTCACCACGAAACTGCAACTCGTTTAGTGTACCCCATTTGGCACCCAGGTCTGCCCGTAGCCTTTCCGCAGGTGGCGCAGGTGCAACGGGTCTCAGAGCTGCTTGCGTCTCGGCGAACTCGGCCTTTTGGTTTGAGGAACACTTTCTGGCGATGATTCGGCCGATGTGGCCGAATCGCCCCGGAAAAAACAAAGACCTTTTTGGAAACAAGTTTGCTTTTCCATTGAACCTACACAAGGTGATCGGCCTTTTGCTACGGAAGCTATCCATTGTTTGGCCCCCACAGTTTCTGACATGCATTCCGCCATTGCCATGAGTGTGGCTGCAACTGCCAAGTGAGATGCGCTCTACGATATGGGTATTCTATCAAGAATGCGGGGCCTCAGCGATTGTGTTTGTTCCTGCTGGTTTGTCTTGAAACCAAGCTGAAAAGTGCACCCTCAAAAACATCCAAAACCAACCGTAATGGGGGCAGGGGCGTGTTTTTGCTGTTTGACAATATCCGCTTATTTTGGTACAACAGAAAAAAAAGGGGGAAAAAAAAACAGACGCCCAGCAAGCCCATGAATTTTTAAAGCCCATGTTTTTTTTTGAAATATATCTGAGGTATGCACACGTTTGGTGGGATGCTACCTAAACCTTACGCATTTTGTAGGGCTGCAACACTTGCGTTTTTCTTGGCATCTTCCCTTTAGGGGAGTTAGCAGACCTCATGTGCAGTTGGAGCTCCTCGTTGTATCCAGCTTGTTTGCACAAGTCATGGCGAGCTTGTCGCATGGGCAAACCAGCTCAGATGACTCCTTAGGCGTCTCCGACGTTCAGCTTGTGATGCCGTATGTGTTTGTTTGTCGTTTGGCCTGGTTCCTTCTTCCATTTGGTTTCTTGGTGTATTGAAAGTTAGTTCTTGGGTTTTGCGGTCGGCGGGTTTTTCAGAGCGGAAATTACGGCACCAAGTGTTGGCTTGTGAAGTGTGGCCTTCGTAGCCGTGTTGGTAACAACCCGCCAGTTGAATGTTGAACATTACTGCCTTCAAGCCAAGGCGCAAAACACGCCCCTCGAATGTCTGAGCCAGGGGGTGCCCTATTGGCTAAACAAAGAAGGAGGATCTCAAAAAAAATAAACCCACGCTTTTTTTGTTGGTTGACCTTTCAAGGGCTTCCCTCCTAAAAAGCCCAGCTATCCCCGGTGCAACCCTTCCGGCCCCCTCCCTTGCAGCTTGAGCCTTGGGCAACCAAAGCTGTCAGCTGCCAGTCCCCCCCTGTCAGGTGCCATTGTAAGCCTTTGGGCACTGAACAAGGCTGAAGAAACCTGGGGGAGAACCTAATTTCCAAGCCCCCATTGGAACCCAGCTTTTTACCTTCTTTTGAACAGGGTAGACAATTCATAGGCCCTCTTCTAGTTTTCCTAGGGACCAACTTCTTGCCGGAGAAGGGGCCTTCGGAGCAACCCTGCGTTGATAGAACTTCGATGCATGCGAGTGACTGGCAGGGCAGAGAGAGGCAGGGGGAGCCAGGAGTAAGCACTTAGAATTGTTTGGTTTGTTTGTTTGTAGACGCTGGTACTGATAGGTTTCACCCTTTCGCCTCGGTAAAACGAGGGAGTGCACCCAGAATAAAGGTCCTGTACGCGGGGATCCAATTCTTACTTCCGAGTTGTCAATGATAATAAGTCATTTTCCCAGATACACTACATTCAGCCAGCGACAGTGGCATTTCAGGTGGACTTCGAGCGCTTGATCCATGGTGGAAAACTGGTTTGGTTGCCATTTCTGTGACAAGAACAATGTCCTCACGGAGACTTCGGGCCATGTCCCATTCGATTTTCAGCTCAGGACTGCGGGGTCCTTCACTTGCCGCTGCTGGCACACGCCGCGGCCGAAAATGGCGAGAGCGTGGAGAAGATGCAGAAGACGCTGCTGGAGACGACGTTTTGTTTGTTCCTTTTGTTGTTTTACCGCTTCAGGGGGTAAATCAAAGGATACCCATGATGCAGGTCCTCTTCCTTTTCCAGTTGGGAGTTTCGGCTTTGTCTCTTCCCTCACTGTGGTTTCCTTTGCTTGTCCACGGCGGCTTGTTTGCTTCCAAAGAGATTTGTTTGTTTGTTCAGTGAACGGTGTCCCAAGAGTTTCGGCATGGACTGGCCACTTCATCTTGAACAGCCCGTGTGACAAAAAATAAAGACGTTGATCCGTTGCAAAACTGGAGGACGATTGGTGCGAAAGCACGTTGCCGTCATATTTTGGCAAGCCCCCAATCCTCCCACCAGGATGATAACCCGCCCCATAAAAATGAGAGCTCTAAAGGATCTGCAGACTTGGCTGTGTGCAAGAGCAGCTTTGCAAGTGGACTGCGCAGCGTCGCGCTGCAAGATGATTCCCGCAAGTTGCCATATATGCAAATGTGTCTGCGCAGTTGCTGCGCAACTTCTCTGTGCAGGTCGCTCTTCTTGAGTGGCTCTTTTCGAGCGCTCTGCGTGAGGTGCTGCGCGCAAGTTGCTGTTGCAGCACGGTCGGTGCATTTGCGCTCTGCGCAAGTTGCTCCGCCCGCGCAAGTCTGCGTCGATCTCTGCGAGTGCTTTGCACATGTTGCGTTATGTTGGACCTGCTTTAATGCTCCCCCCCCCCCCGAACAATGGAACCAGTCAGCGGGACCCTCTTTAGGGAAACCCTGGGGGTTTGGGTGGGACTTTCAAATTGATTTAGTATTGGTAGACTTGAGCTTCCATTTGATTTAGTATTGCTGGAGCTTCCTTTTGAGATTCGGAACTGAGTTTCCATTTGATTTAGTATTGCTGGAGCTTCCTTTTGAGATTCGGAACTGAATTTCCATTTGATTTAGTATTGCTGGAGTTTCGTTTTGAGATTTGGAACTGAGTTTCCATGTGATTTAGTATTGCTGGAGCTTCCTTTTGAGATTTGGAACTGAGTTTCCATTTGATTTAGTATTGCTGGAACTTGCTTCTGAGATTTGGCACTGAGTTTTAAAATGATTTAGTATTGGTAGAGCTTCCTTTTGAGATTGCTCCCAAAACCAGTTGAACACTAAAGAGGACCCCAAAACAATCACACTAAGGAGGATCAGGTATGGTTGTGGGCAACCCCCTTTGTGTGATTGATTCACCTTGTTTTTTTGGTGAAGAAGATAGCATAATTTTGATGGTTTGTGCACAACTTGCGAAATGGATTTCCTAGACCTCAGGCCTTTAACCTTTGAGCTGGGGAGAGCTTAGGATAAGGCACCCTGAAAAGTAAAAGGCTCAGGCTTTGGTTTGGGAATTTCAGGAACCCCGCACAACCAGTTTAACACTAAAGAGGACCCCAAAACAATCACACTAAAGAGGATCAGGTATGGTTGTGGGCAACCCCCTTTGTGTGATTGATTCACCTTGCTTTTTTGTAAAGAAGTTATCATAAATTTGATAGTTTGGGCACAACTTGCAAAATGGATTTCCTAGACCTCAGGCTAGCTCAGAACCAGCCTCCAGCTCAACAGCAGCTAAGGCTTAGTCTAGTTTGAGCCCGACCTGAGCCTGCCCAGACCAGAGAGTTGAAAACAAACAAGCCTGTACTTGTTTATTTTGTTTGGGGAGGGGAAAAAACTTTCCACAATAGCAGCCACAGGATCCTGAATTACAAAGAAACTTTCCACAATAGCGGCGACTTTCATTAAAGCGGGTGTAACATTACAAGATATAGTTTGAAGGTTGTTCTTCGCAAGTGCTCTTGCACAAGTTGCTCTGCGCACGGGCTCGGTGCAAGTTGGCCTGCGCATGTCTGCAAGTTTCCTACGCAATAATGTTCCCGTGTGGCGCAGTATTCTCCGCAGAATAATATGAAACCCAAACAGAAATTTGAGACCCCTTTTTTGAAATCCATCCCCAGGAGGTCGCCATGAACGAGCCCGGCGCCCAGAAGAAGCTTCAGAAGCCAACGTTTCAGTTGGCCGCAAGTTGCTGTCCTCCCCCCGAGCTGGGGTAGCATTCAACACTGTCTTTTTGCTTCGGGTAGACCACCAGAAACTTTCAGTTTTCCGTGTACCGGGCGAGGCCAAGGTGTTTTTTCCAATCAGGGACCCTGCAAACCACAGAAAACATCGGGGAACAGAAGTTCAAAGACCTGCGCCAAATCGTATTTGGCTTAGTTGGCCTGTGTTGGGGCTTGAGAAGCCCCTATCCCTTTCAGGGTCTTTTGCGCAAGGGTTCATATCGTTCCATCTAGTCTTCTCTCCAATCTATCCATCTACCTATCAATTTCATCTAATTTATGTATCTACATATCTGCTTATCGACGGATCTACTCTTTCTACCTACGTGCGCATTTGCCTCTCCACCCTATCCTCTAATCTGCAAAATCTATTTAACCCTGTGCGTGGGCCGGTCTCTTCCTCTCTATCCCGATCAATCGATCGATCGATCGATCTATCTGCTTTCTCTCTATGCTAAGTGAAATCAACTCCAATCTAGTCTTATCTAACCTATTCGTTTATCTCTCTCTCTTATCCTATCTACATTTCCTTTTTATGTATCCATCTATCTATCTACCTACCTACTATCTTTCTTTCGACCTTATTCACCTGTCTATCTGAGCTACCCAATGAACATCTATATGGCGGATCTATCCAGCCATCTACCTATCTATCTTCCTGTCTGTCTCCCTATCCATTCATCGTTCCATCCATCCATCCATCCATCCATCCATCCATCCATCCATCCATCCATCCATCCATCCATCCACCCATCCACCCATCCACACATCCACACATCCATCCATCCACCCTCTCTATCTAGCTGTCTTTCCTTTTTCTGTTTACTTGTCGAACAACCCTACCTATCTGTTCATCCATCTATCTCTCTGTCTTTCAGTCTAGTCTATCTATCTATCTGTCTGTCTCAATTTCCGCCGTTACTTGTGCAAGTCTTTCTGTCTACCAAAAGATAGATCCATCTATATCTCTGCCATTCCATTTCTGCGTTCGTTCTTATGAATGCGAAATGGCTGGGCCTGCGCATGCCACGACATCTGGCGAACGTGCTGCGCTTGTGCGCCTTGACCTTGCGAAAGTCCTGACATTGCGATACTGCTGCTACGGCTGCGCCAAAAACCGTACCTCACCTTGCGAAGGTGCTGCACCTGCCACACACACTAATGTTGCTCCAAACGTGGTCCGACCAGGCGTCGCGATCAGGCTTCCTGTCGTCCATGGACCGATACAGACAGAGGATTGAGCTTTTGCAACATTCCAATCCTCCGCCACACGCGCACACTTTTTGACGCGTGGTTCCTCTTGTCGGGGAGCTAGCTCAGCTAGCTCCCTGTCAGTTAGTTGCCATACCATGGAAGATCCGCTAATGTCCTCTGACCGTAAACACCATGTTTCGGTGTGAGGGTGATCTCCTATCGGCTGCTTGTTTCTTGTGGTCTGGCCGGCGCGGGCGCGGGGGTGGTGGCGCCAAACTCCAGATTCTGAGTTCTCAGCAGCAAAAACGAGATTCATCCTCAACGCTGGAAAGAGAGATATGGCGGTATTCACCCTTCCCCCCCCCTCCATGCTTGAATAAGTAGTAAGTGGGTAGAATCCTCTGTGTGTCTTCAAGAGGGAACAAGCCACTCTCCCAGTGATTGGCGGTTGTTCAAATGGGGAACTGCAGGCTTTCAATAAACCTTGCTGACTGCCATCCGGCTGAGAAAATGTCTCGTTGCAAAAGCCGACGTGGGCCTCCAAAGGACAAACGTGTTTTGTCGGCTCTCGGTTTCTTTTGCGCAGATGATCTGGCACGTGTAACGTCATGATCTACATGTATTGCCTATTTTGTTGTATCCAGCCGGCCCCACCCCACGTCAGGGGGCTCGAGGGAAACAAACGGAATGAGTTCGAGAAGGGGCAGACGACCGAAACAGTTTCTCCTAATGATTGACGAAGCAGTCCGACCGTTGCGCGCGTTGCCGTTTTGGGACTCACACGCCGGGAGTAGTGTTGGCCCGGCTAGAAAAATGTTCGCCCGCGCTGGCTTGGGCGACTGCCGTCTGAAAAGGCTCCTCTGTTTGCGCGCTGGCCGCCCAAGTTGCCCACCCCGGGTCTGTCCAGCAGCTCTTGGCGCGCGTCCGCCGGCGCTGAGCGGCCTTTAGGACGAGGAGTGTTTTTTCGAGCAGCCGGAAACGCCGAAAATCCCTCCATTTTTTCGGATCCTTGAAAACCAGCAAGCGCCCCCATTTGCCCAACACGAAACTTTCCTTGGCGCCGAAACCTGATCCCAAGGCCCGTTGTGGTCAAGCCCAGACATGGCTGCCTGGCTTGGCAATTGGGGATTCAGACTGCGCGTATCTGATGCTGCCTTTCAGGCGCAAACTCCTGCTTCGTCAGCTTGTGGCCACATCCGGGGGAGATTGGTGAGCAGCAGCTGCTGAGAAGCATTGAGGCCGGGCTGTATGGGCTGCAGCAGAAATGGTGGCGTCTTCCAGCAAAAAAGGATGGCAACTGCCACGAGCATTTTAGCGGGAAGCAACTTTTCTTGAAATCGCAAGTTCTGTGTGCGTTTTGGCTCCAACCGCCAGCGTTCAACGACTTCGCGCGTGCTTGCAGAGTCCCGTCAAAGCAAACCATCGTTTGGGTTTGAACTGCCTCCAGCTTGACCTGTCGCGCTTCAGTTTGTCTAGGTTGCTATGGAGGGCGAAGACCACTCGTGGGAGAAGGACCTGATGAAATTGCTGTCGGTGGTGTGCGGGTCTGTGTTGTTCGTTTGTTTGGTGTCTGCGCTTTTGACATTCCCCTTTTTCCGGCCCCAGACAGAATGCTTTGCAACTGGGTTTGCAGGCACGCAAACTCACTTTCACCAGCGCAAGACGTTGGAGCTAGATAAATGCGAGCCCGCCAGGAGTGCTGGCAGCTTTCGCAGGTGCCGCGCGGGGCAATTGTGCAGCCGATGTATGCCATTGCAGCCCCTTGGTGCACGGGAAAAAAACAAAAACACGGGGTGTTTGCAACATGCTGTAATTGATCCCCGGCAAAACTCACGCGACCCCCCTGGTTTCTACACATATTGATTCTGGGAGTCCAGGGTTCCACGTCAGCCTTTGTCTACATGAAAATGATGCGAGATTGAAAGCGTCCGCGTCTGCAGCTCCAAGCCAGAAAGCAAATGTTGCCTTTACGTTGTTGCAGAAACAGCTTGAAAAAGCACCTGCGCACTCAACATCAGATTGCAATAATGGTTCAAACTGATTGTAGAGCACCTGATGCATCGGGTTGCGGGCATGGACAGTCGCCCCAGGAAAAACAGCATCCAAGAGCGCAGCCGTGACAAGACGAGAATGGAAAGGACCTACACAGTTGGGTTGCCAATGGCCAGCAAGTAGCAGCAGCGGCGACACCACTTCATGCGAGGAGCAAGGCCCGCAACACGTTAGACGCTTTCTCGCACTACTGCCAACACACTATGAGTCACGGCACTTGCGACCAACTTGCCTCTAAGGTTGTACCAGTTTAGCCGAACTTTCCATTCCAATTCAGCACCATCTCAGCACCATCTACACAAATTGACTGTCAATCTCTCGAAGAGTTGCCCTTTTGGGGAAATGATGTGGGAATTAATTGCTGGAATCCTGACAACCCCCACGGCAAGAGCGAATGTTGGTCAGATATCGACTGGAGAGGCCACTTGTTGTAGAACATGGTAGCAGTGTAAAATTCAGACCAAACATGACGCACATCAATTGATCGTGACTGTGGCCAATCACTGGGGGGAAGTATGGGCAATGAGGAGTCAAAGTCGGTGGCACTGCAGGGTCGCTTTCAAAATCTCGGAAAAGGGCTCGACTGCTGCACCATGCCCTCACGTTAACTGTGAACAATTATCGCAGGTCGGTTTTCTGACCTTGCGCCCATGAAGGCCCTTGGTCTTTTCAAGGTTGCTGCCGAGTTGTGTTTTGGGCCAACATAGGCTCTACTTCGGAGTGTTTCAGCTAGGCATCAACAAAGAAGCCAAAACCAATGGAGTGCAGGTTCCTCCCAAAAGGTCGCTGGCACATTGAGAGACACTCATAACGCTAACTTCGGAGCAATATACATAGACTTCTGGCTGATAATGGGCGGTGCCTCGACTGTTGGGGAGAAGACGCTTGATCCGGGATCAACATCCTGCCTCAGTCGTCGTCTGTTGCCAAGCTTCTCCACCGAACCTCCTTGGGGTCCATAATGTGAGGTGTTTGGGCCCGACTTGTCGGGATCAACGTGAATGTGAAACTCGGAATTATTTGGAGGAGCATGTTTAGCAGAGGAATCCTGAAGTGAAGCGAATTTCCGTTTAAAGGGAACCCCCTGATGAGTTCGGTTTGCCAGATCAATCCGAAGTTCACATGAGTTGCGGCTGCAAAAGTAGGGTTCCAGTGCCAGAGAACCCCGAAAAAAAAGGTAAGCAACCATAGGCATCAGATGGCATAGCTTCGCATCAGCTTGTTTTTCCACACGCACGGGGGAGGTAGTCGCAACTGGGACCGCTGCCTCCTATGACAAAACCGGCCCTGCCCAAGGTGAGTGGCCATGGTCCTCGCAGTCGCTCTGCACCGATGGTCGGGGGCCCCAGAGCTTGTTTCTCTGTAAGATTACACTGGTTGATGAAACCCAGCCTATCTCAGTGTCCCATTTCAGAGGAACTTCTTGCAGCGCTTTTGCTCCCTGAACAGTCTTTCCGGAGCTGTCGCAGGGCAGTTTCAGTGGAGGCGTCCGGTTCGGAACCAAATTTTCGCAAGTTCCCTCGTGTATGATCACACGTTCTGGTACAGGAACGCCATCAAACATGGCCTCACATAATGGCTATGCTTTCTATTGGAGAAATGAATTGAATACCCTGACATGGATCGGGCAGATACACATGGCATGTGAGACGCGGATGTGTTCGCGCATCCTGCGCAGTGGCCCCTTCTGCGACAGTACTAGACTGGCAGGCAGTTGCCAAACTGAACGCTAGAGCATGCGCCTTGGAGGTGTCGATACGGCCCGAATGAGGCGGTCCCCCGTGGCATGACGGTGTAGAGTCAACAGGTCGACAACCAGACAGCTGGTCCCAGTCCTTTTAATGAATTGCCAAACAAAGAGAGTGCCTTTTTTCCTGGGTGGCTACAGTGCATCATTTAGTATCACTCCCTTGCAAATCAACATGGATCCCCACCTCGAAGATTGGATTTTGGGTTCCTGAAGTGAATCTGCAGGGGACTAAACAACATGCAACATTTACTGCAATGTGAAAGTAGATGGCGCAATGCCCCTTACGTCGGCAAAGGGGATGATTCGACTTGAATGGAAAAAAAAACACCATCTCCACTTGTATATTCGCATCTCTTTGCCGCTGTCCATGTTCTCCGGTTTTGAAACCAGGCAGTGACCCGGTTCCAATCCCCTCCGTCCCTCGAAGCATGTCATCCTTCGGAAGAACCACGGGTCCCGCCCACGTCTCTCTGTGGATTCCTTGTGTCCACTGGGAAGTCTACCCCCCCGCGTTGGACTGGCGTGTTTTTGACACGGTGCCCAAGTGAAACCATACCCAGCGTCATTTCAGGCGGCTGGTTGAATCCGCAAAGAATCCAGAAATCCGCAAAGGATCCCCAGGTCAAACCAATTTGTCGCCCTTAACCAGGTCCACCCATCCTAAATTCTCAGATCCTGAGGATTCCGTTTTTTTTGTTCCCAGACATCCACGACTCAGGAGCTGAAGGTGCAGGTCTTCTTTGGGCGAGTGGTTGGTGCCACCTTGAACACGCACCCCCAGCCTTTGTGGGCCACTCGGCTCTCATCCATCCCAAGATCCCATGGGGGAATAAGGGCTGGGGGCAGGGGAGGGTCGGTTTTTCAGGCAGCTTCCGAATGTGTTGTTTTTCCTGCGGGTGGTTGTTTCCCCTACAGAATGGGTGACTTGGAGGTCTTTGCAACAAGGTTGTTTTATGAAAGCAGAACATGGGGAAGGGTGCTTCGGGATGGTCATTGTGTAAGGTCGCTTGGGCCCAGAAGCGAGCTCCAAAAAAAGACGTGCCCTTCCAAATTGTAGTGCACAGAACCAGACTCTTGGAAGGTCCTCTTGCACGCTCATGGTGGGAGAGGGCAAGTCGCCAAAATGCAAATAAGGAGGTTGGTGCTTAAGGATCTCTGTGAGATTCGGCAAATTGGTGTTGGCCAACCTGGGCTGCTGTTTGTCTGTTTTGCAGTTGCTGTTTGTTAATTATGTATTATATGTCTGTGTGTGTGTGCTGTTGTGCATGTTCCTTCTGTAGTAGTTGTTGGTCGTTTGTTCCTATTTGTTGTTGCCGTTGCTGTTGTTGCTTGTTTGTTGTTTGTGTTAGTTGTCAGTTGCTTGTTTCATGTTTGCTATTTGTTGTGTGTTGTTTGTTGGTGATGTGCCTGTCGCGAATTTCTGACCATAGGCGTTTCAAAGAAATGACAATATATAGGTGGGTGGCAGGTTAGAGAAAGGCGGCTAACCAACAGGACTGGTTCATTTAGCTCACATGCTTACTAGCTCACTCGCTTACTTAGGCAATTACTTCAAATGAAGTTTGACGGCAACTGAAAGCCGTACTTCCCCTTGCCCAGCCGCACGTCTGTGTTTGACCCGATGGAATCAAGAGAATCCACCGGGCTTCCGGGCTTGCGAAGCGCACACAGGTCGCGTGGAACGGGGTGATCCAGCTGTGGGACAGCCAGGCGAGTCCAATGCAACCAGGGGGTTGCTCCCCAGCAAGTTAACCCTCCAGTGGGCAGGTGACTTTTTCCGACTTTTTCTTGGAGGGTTTCCCTTTAAAGTACACCAAAAACAAATTCCCCGCTGCCCAGTGGGAGTCTGGGCCAACATAGAGCAAGAAAGGGGGGCCTTTCCACCAAAGGAGAGTTCTCTAAAATGGGGTTTGGTTTTGAGGTTCCTTCCATGATTGTTGCGATCGCCTAGGGTCAAGATTTCTGTTACAGGGAAACGTATGGAAAAGCCGACAAAGACCTGCGGGTCCCCTGGCTCTTCAATTTTGAGCCACACCCTTTCAACTGTTTCATGGGTGTTTTGGTCTAGATTCAGTCAACCAGGGCCCCCAGTCCAGAAAATATTTGAATGCTTGCTGGCTGACCACGCAACCGAGTCCAACTGGTTTCAACACATCCCTACGGGTAGGTTATGAATTCACTTCCACTACGGTTGCGGGCAGGAGAATGATGAGGGATGAGAATGAATGTTTGTTTTATGATTGTGAAGAAAATCGCTGTAGTCTGTTCAACAACATACGCCACACAAAAACACATGCATGTGGTATTCCAATTTGTGGCCACCAAATTCGACGTGCAGAATCCCATCGGGGTGCATGGGCTATCTGCTCGGTGATTCATTCCAGGAGCTGATTGCCAGGGGCCAGGCCGGGCATTGGGAGTTCGAGCGAGATGTGGTATGGTCAAAAGACACCTTTATTTGAGGACGACAGGAATAGGAGGATTGAACATGGCTTATATGTTTTCTGGGGACAACTGTTTTCCAAAACACTCCTGTCAGATTTCAAACAGTTGGAGGGTGGTATTGTATGTTTGACAAATAAGACGCAAAATCCGGCCTTTTCTGTGGGCCAAGTGTTGGGACCATTTCTAGGTAGAGGAATGGGGTCTTGGTAGGTTTCCGGGCTATAAATTCTGGTCGGTGGGTGTGAATACTGGTTAAAGACCAAAAGCTCCATTCCAAAAAAAAGATCCGTAGGTTTAGATTGTTGTTGCCTCATACGGCCAAAACACATGGCTGGGGAAAAAAACATATGCGCCAAACTGCAGGTGATGGCTATTTGATCGCCGCGTAATCGTTTGTTTGGCGAAACGGGCACCAGATCCAAGCGATCCCTCGAAAAGCAACAAGAAATCCGGCTTCTACGATTGTTGCAAACAACCAATCCTGGAAAGTTGTTGCTTCTTTCCAATCATTGACGCTCTAAACAAGATCCATCCCAAGAGCACCAGCTTGGCTCTACTGAGGCTTTGTTTGTTCCCAGCCAGAGCAGTGTCAAAAAAGTATCCCACTGCCGGCACCTGCAGTTTGGCTCCTCTGGGGCTGTTCTAACCTATCACTTCGGGAGCGACTTTTATGATGGCAAACCAAAGAGGCCCCTGTTGTTCCTAGCCATTGCGCGGTGGCTTAAATACACAGACATCCATCCTGCCCAGATTGGGTGTGCCTTTTTGACGCTACTTTGTTTTGAGATAGTTTCAAAGTCACAGGGACACCACTTCTTTCAGGTTTCCGGGGGTATCCGGGGGTCCTCAAAGACATTGACAAACCTGGGCTGAGGTGCGGTGCAAAAGCCTGGACCGATGCTATGGCCGCACTCTGCCTCCGGAGCTGCTGTGGCAATTGCAGGAGGCTGCGCCTGTCCAAAATCTGGCGTCCCTTCAGGCACCCTCGGCAGAAAGCGTCCCCACTTTCTAAGACGCCATCTCCAGGAAAGTTGGCCCAAATGGTTTTGGTGGGTATTGGATAATATCCTGGAGATGGTTTCTTAGACATGGTTCCCCCAAACTCGGTTGCTCTAGGGCAGCATGAAGCACGCAGGAGTTCACCATGCTTCAAGTAGGGAAACCATTCCTCGGGGGGTGTCAACCATTTAACGGATCCAAAATCATTTGGGGGGAAACACGCCCTGATAAAGAGTCCGGGTTCAGTCAGGCTTGAATCCGGTGCACACGTTGACAGCTGGAACTCATGAGTTGTCATAACCATTCTCAGCACCCCACTGCTCCAAGAACCACCCAGAACCATTTCAGAACCACGCCAAAGTGAACCATTCTACGAACCATTCCAGGGTTCAAAGGATTCCTTTTGCTTCCCAATGCGCGACAGGCCTTGGCCTCCAGCTGGCTCTTCGTGCGAGGTATCGCTTTTCGCTTGCGGAGAGTTGGGGTCTCCAACAACGCATATATGGAGTTGCCCCTTTTTGGGATCGGTTTTAAAGGGATTCCAAAAGGACCACCTCCATTTTGGGGGTCTCCCCCCAAGAAAGAAAGACGCACCGATATGAAAGTGTGGCAAAAAAGGGGGAGCCCCCCAAAATGCGGGTGTTCTAGAATGGTGTTTGTTCAAACCAACGAGAAGGCGTTGTGGGTAGAAAAAACCAAGCTCAAGAGTACGACAGGTTCACGGTGCCGCTCATTCAGTTGTTTCCGAGATGGGTCAAATCAGTTTCCTCAGCCTGGCACTCAAGAATGTCTTTTCAGGCTTCAGCATTCGTTCCTGTTTCGCGCGCTTGGATCCTGTACCGGCAAAGCTGATAAGTCCGAGGGGTGAGCGCTGCAGTTTCTCCACTTTCAGACAAGGTCCCCAAAGGTTTGCTGAAGGTTTGGCATGAGACAAAGAGGCTCAGCTCATGAGGCTCAGCTCATGTGGCCCCAAAGCCTTTGGGCAAAGCTGCTGCACTCGCTGGTAGTTGAGATTTTCTGGGAATTCAGCCACTTCATCAAAGGGCGCCAAACTCCTTAGATTTCTCGATGGCCATGGCCCAAGACTCAAAAGTCCCAACCTGTTTTTTTGCTTGTTGGTTGCACGAAGCCCTTATTTTGTTGAATCACATCCCCAACCTCCTCCTGAAGAGCCGAGCTGTTGCTCCGCAGCTTTTCGGATCCTGACAAATTCTTTCCATGTTGCTGCTTCTGAGCTTGTTGGCGCTGGGCGAGGCCGCGACCCCCGACCCGCGACCGGTCGGGGTGTGCCCGGTGGATCCCCGGACCTTTCCGTCCACCTAAGGATAGACCTTCAAAGGGAAAGAGCAAGCCAGAGCAAGGATTTTTTGCGCCAAACTAAGGGGGGTTGAGGTTTGTTTGCGGCTTGGTGTCCTTTTTTGGTTTAGAGCGCAGCCGAAACGAAACCTGAAACCCATGTTGGGGGTTTGGCACACACGCACACACAGAGATCCAGAGGTTCTAGTTCTAGTCTACAACAGTATGTCTCCGAGAGAGGCGGAGCGATCATGTAATCCGGGCTGTTGTCCCCCAAACGTGCAGGAACCCTCCCAAAATTGGGGCAACCTTTTTTGATCAACTGCGTGTTTTCATCCTGGGTCAGCCTGAACGCCGCTGTTTTTGCGGTTCAAACAAAGTACATGAACCAAACCACGTTTCGGTTAAAAGACACAGCCAAAACTTTCTCTGTGAGCCAAGGGAGTCCCATTAAAGTTTCGTCAGTTGTCCCGCCGGTGGGAGGCGAATCGAGCTGGGTATCACAGAAAAGCTCCACGTTCAAGTTGGCCCGGGTTACAAACACCAAAAGAACAGTAAATTAACAGGATCGCCTTGTGAAGCAGGTTGTTTTTGGACGTATTCAAGGAGCCCTGTTATCCAAAAGCATGTTCCAAGCTTTCAGATTTGCTCGGACCCTAGACCTCCACAAGAGTGTTGATTCAGAGACTTCCATGTGTGTCAAAGGGATCTGGACCCAAAATGGGCAAAATGGTGCTCCTGTCCTCTTTAAACCAAAGGCTAGCGAGCCACGACCAAAGACGTGCCCGCCAAGGGAGTCCAATAACATGTCCGAAATGGCATTCTCCATTTCCCCTGGGTAAATCAATCCTCAATGCCTGGTGGTTGCTCACTGATTTGGGGTGTCAGCCACTCCCAATAAAAGGGGTCCTTTTTGAAGAAAGGAGCACTTTGCCATGTTTGCTATGTATTTGCTTCTGCTTCTTGAAAGTCCTGCAGCCTTCAAATTTACAACGTCTATTTGTTGTCAAGGGTAGTGGTCCTTGCTGGTCTCCCCTTGTTATTGTGGCGGCACCATCCAAAACGGGGTCCTCTGTTCGACACCCCCATTCCCAATTTTATGTTCCGGGTGCCACTATATGTCCCCCGATGCAAAAAAACACTTCCAGTGAGCTTCCTTTTGCTGGGTGATGTTCGGGGGAGCATGGGTGCATAGGTGTCCTTTTTGTTTGTTTTGGTAGAAAAATCGATGGCCCTGGTTTACCTGGTGTTTCAATCATCTACCAGGGCCATCTATTTCCCCTATGCATGGGTGTGTCTCAAAACCCCCAAAAGCGGTGGTGTCCTCCAGATGTCCCTTCAAAACCGCGCAAAAAAATGATGTGCCAGTGGATCAAGAATATGTACCCAAAATGAAAACCCTGGTAAATGGAAAGGTCCCATGGTGGTTTAAATTTGACGCACAGCCACATCCTCCGCGAGGCCCTGCGCACGGTAGTGGACCACTCGGCCTCCGCGGCGGGCGGCGGAGCCGCTCTGGGCACTTCGGGGCACTTTGAATGCTCCTCCACCACCGGGGATCCGGTGGCGCCGCCCAAGGCGAGCAGCACGGGGGGCTGGTCTCCTTCAATTTTTTCCCTCAACAGAAGAAGGGGGCGGGTTTTGAGTGTCAATCAGGTCCCCCCATATTTTTGTCCCCCCAACAGCTGGGAGCTTTGGTTCGGTGCGGCTCCAGGTCAGGGTTCCGGAAGAGCTCCAGGGATGTCACCTGGCCTTTTTTTTAGCATGGCAGGGTGGTTAAATATGCTTGGAGAATACCCCAGATGTGGGCCCAAGAGATAGTTTACACAAGGTTCAACAACGCAATATATGGACTTATGAGGGAGAAAGCTGAGGTAGCAGAGACCGACGCAGAGCTCCTCTTGTTGGTTAACATTCAGAATGCACAGCCGTACTTCCTGCTTAAAGCAAGCAAACAAGAAGAAACAATTTGTATTCCCAACAAGCAGAACTTTCCGGAAGCCGCTGAGAAAAAGGCTGCGAACTGAGCCGGGCCTACCTCGGTAGGGCTTCCAGTCGAGGGGAGATGGAGCAAAATGTCGTAGTAAGTCCCTTGGCACCGAAATTGGAATCCTGGAAGGGGTCCGTAAACTTCCGTTCACTTCAAGCCGGCTTTCGGGCCAACTCTGACTGTTTAGCGGTGGAGATGTTTCCCCTGGACAAAAACAACTGGAAAAGGAACCAACATGTCCCATAGTCCCAACATGCCTCGGGTTGCGCATGTTGGTGGGGTGATGCGTAGAGGGGAGTGATCTTTCAGCTTGTGGCAGACTCAAAGAAGCGGGAAAGCAGTGTCTGTTGCACACCTGGCTCCATGGGTCCGTCTCTTTTATGGGTGCTCAATAGCCCAGAAAGTTCAATTCAGTCAAAGGGAAACCAAAGGAGATGGGTTCTCATGCTTTACTTTTCCCAGACCCCCTGTTTCGCCTCCATTTGCGTGATCCCAGTTGCCTTTTTCCATTGCAGATGGAAGGTTTGAGGCCAGAGGTTGCATCTGCGTTGAGAAATGCTCCCGCTGCTTTCTGTGCCTAGGCTACCGAAGCTCATTCAGCAGCCATACTGTGGGTGGTTGCGAAATCCGTTGGCGCCACTTTGAAACCATGGTTGAAACCAGAACGTTTGTTGGTATTTGCAGGGGAATCACCATTCCAGGGTTTCTGAACGGTGGTGCGAAATGGATTTCGCAACCATCCACAGTAGCAGCAGGTTCTTTTGAGTTTGGGGAAGGACGAGTGGTGGTGTCATCGTTTCTGCAACTAGAAGGCGGTGTGGGCCGCCACCAGCGTGTGTTTGCAGTTGTGAAATGTTGGGGAAAGACGCACGCGCCGGCTCTCGAGATCTTATGTTGATCCCCTGTTGGCAAACCCCCGCAGTTATATCCTGCGCCGTCCTGTCATGACGAAAATAATCATCGCCTAAGAGGCCTTGACACATTCATTTGGGTGTTTCTCCAAATAGGGTCCCCCCCCAAACAAAAAAAAACATGCATGAGACGTGGCTTTCCTGTTGGTTTCCCTTTCAAATGACAACTAAGAGGTGGTCCACCATTTTGAGAAACTCCCGTTTGTGACCAGGGAGATATGATGAGCCCCCTCTTTATCTCCCAGCAAACCAAGTACTGTACATCAGTTTGTCTTTGTTGTTTGCAAGGAAAGCGAATGGCTAAACCAATTGCCTAGTTTTACTTAGCTGCGCAGCAGTCAAAAGATTCCCATTAGCCATTTACTGGTGTTTCCACGACCTGGTGTCATATATGTTAATATTTATAACATTTATATACCGATCTTAGTAGGACCCAACGTCACGGGTTTTGGGCGCTGCTGCAGTGTGCATGAATGCCGGACATGAACCGCGATCAAACTCCTGTTCCAGCCCGATCGTGCCGCAGGCCATTCTCGAAGACCACGAGCAGGGGGATGGCTGGCATCTCATCATTCTGGTGAGTGGCTACTGGAGTAACATCAAGGATGGCAGCATCTTAGCTGGTCTTGGTGTATGTGTTTAGTTGATGCGGTATGTTGCATGTGTTTTTGATGACATGTTGGTGATTTTGTTGCTTTTGTTCTTTCCAGCTGGGCTGCTCGAATAGCCTACAAGTTGCCATGTGACATACGGCGAGGTCTGATGCAGGTGGCTACCAGCCTCTGCGAAGCCAGCTTTGGAGCGCCGGATCGATCATTGCAGCTCGACAGAGAGCGCCCAGCGAGTTCCATGGCCATTGCCTGGCTGAGGGCTGGTGTTCCATGGAAGCTGAACGGAGGCCTTGGTAAGGCCTCAAATCTGTGCAGCCATCTCAATATCAACCTTTCAATGATAGAGGAACCCACCAACACTGGCCCATTTCCTTAGAAAGACGGGAACCAACCTTGATTGGTACTCTACTGCCCCCGGTTTAATCCGAAGTTGACATTAGTCATTCGTAGAACCAAAAGTCAATGGCTTTGGGTGTCGCAGCCTCCGCCTGCTTGCATGTCTGTGGGTCCATGTCTATGTGTGTGTGTGCACTGGCAATCCTGTTTCCCTTTCCAGCAATGCACCACGGATCATCTTTACCGCCCCTCCAACCCACATACCCGAGGCAAGCTCCTGGACCGTTTGCATGTCCTTTGCGGATCCATTTCTTATTTCAGGTTTGGAATTGACACATTTGCATGCATAGGTTGGTGCCCTGAAACTCGGGCGCGCTTTTGGGACCGACGAACCCGGGGCGTGAGATGTCTCTACCGCCAATGCCTCTTCCTGGCCTGCCAGCTTGAAATGTCGTCATGTTTGGTTCACTGACTCCAGGGGACAGCAGCGAATGGTTATTCCTTTCAAATGCACCTCGTTCCTGCCGGTGTCCAAGAAGCCAATTCATGAACAACATAGTTGGATTGGCACCTTTTGGGCGCCACAACTTCATTTTGCCGGGTCCAGTCTGGATGTGCTTGCCGTCTCCGAAGTTGCCTTGTGATGATGCTGGGGTCTTTCAAAAACCATCTCAGATTTTGGCATAGACTAAATATGAAACAGAATCTGAACATCTCATTTTCCGTGTACCCCAAATTTGGTCCCAGGAGTTGTTCCAAGGGCCCTTTCCGGTGGTTTCAAGCATCACTTTTTGAGTGTTGGCCCCTGTGCGGTGAGTTTTTTTTAGTAGGCGTGGTGTTTGCAGGTCGGAAACAAAGGGCACCCTGTGCAAATTCGCCTGAGGATTGTGGTCTTGGACTCGAACTTGGACCTCCACAAATCCGTAGAGCACTTTAATCTGCAAGCGGAGCGTGCCGGCCAGGAGGTGCTAGATCTTCTGGACGCGCCCCTCGGCTGGTGAGAAGAGCCGTGACATGTTCTAATTTACCCTGGGGCCGTTTGGCTGTTTTCTTGTTTGCTTGTGTTCTGTATGTTGGTTTTGCTTTGTTCTTGTGTTTGTTTTGTTTTTTTTGATAGTTGTTGTTCGGTGGCTTTGCTGTTTACAGCTTGGCAAGTACTATCCAGGTTTTCATCTGCAGCGCGTAGCTATGGTTGCAAGTTTTGGAGAGCGCAAACATGGATCAACGTTTGGGTCTACGCCACATCTTTGCATTGGACAAGACTTATAAGCAAAGAAACCACAATAAGTCCTAGGTGTAGGGTTCAACATCCAAAGAAAGCGACCCAGTCCAAAGACTTCGAAGTCTTCAGCACACCGCCAACAATTTTTGAATGTGCTGGTTGGAGAACCAGTCCTTGCGTTTGGTGCTGGTTTGAAGAAGCATCCTCGGGTGATTTCCCATCAGCCATCGTCCTCCTTGGAAGGCACTCATTTTTCCAGCGGTTTTTCAGCGGTCCCATTCAGCAGGGATCCCTCTCAAAAAGTGCCAGCTCGGGTCAAAAATCAAGGGTCCCATTTGTTGACCTGGATTTGTGTGGGGAAGTTGCAGCTCCCAAGATGCCCCCCATTTTTTGAGGGTTTGGCCATGGGGCATGACCTATGGCTCCATTTTGGGGTGGATGAACATCCATTTGCCACCTATGTTGATGTTCACCCGGGGTTTCGTGGGTTTTGACCCACAGCCATCTGTGCGGGGAAGCTCCCCACAACATTCCGCCGAGGAACGCGCGGCAGAACCGGAGCTTCGCGGGCTACTCCTTGGTGGGCCACTCCTTGGGCGGCCTCGTGGCGCGGAGCTTGGCCACGCAGCTGGCGGAGCAACGGCCCGCCCTGCTGCCCCGCGGCTCGGTCTCCCAAAAAACACGCGGGCCGCGCGCAAAGCGGAAGCCGCTCGCGCGCGCGCGTCTCGGTGTCCCCGGGAAAACAGAACAAATAGTTGCAGTAGTGATAGTTTCCTCTCAGACCAACAGGGGAAACAAGAACATGCTAAATGAAGCAAATGAAGTTTGGTTTCTTCCAACCAACCCCAAGTTAAAGAAGGGCTCAACGATCCGATTCGAGGGAAGCTGATTTGGGATGGGTTTGAAGGGACACCAAAATAGCACGATCTATTTTGGCGGCTATGTTGCGCCATGTTCAAGCCACCCCTGAACGCCCCTAACCTGCCCCTTGGGGGGCTCAGCCAATTTTTGGTTAGGGATAGGGTGGCCCGCATTAGGTGGCTAATTTTGAGGGTTCTGGTATGTTCTGGTTACAAAATAAGAGGCCAAGGGAACTTGTAATGCGTCTCTCGGTCGTTTTGTTTCTCGTGGTGTGTCGCTTTCCGAGGTACCTACATCTCGATTTTCACCCCGCACCTGGGCCTGCAGGCGTGCTGGGGCAAAGTTTGCAACCATATCCTGGCTCCCCTCAAAGGGACACCAAAAGGAGAATGTTTCAACAATAGGTATGGTAGAGGCCCAAAAGCAAAATAAAAGCACCCAAACGGTTTCCTTGCAAAACTTAGAAGCGAAACCACTATCACAACCCTTCTGGGGCCAACAATAGTCGCTTTGTCCAGTAAATGGATGTCCAGCAACTGCCGGTGTCCTGCGAAACGAAAAGCGAAACACGTCTGAAAGTTGCAACCCTCTGGGGCCAACGGTCGGCGCTTCCAGGGCTTCGTCGCGGAGAAGGTGCTGCCGGCCTTCCTGGCGGTAGCGCGCCGCTTCGATGCAGGACGAAGCACGGGGGACGAAACTCGACGTCGAGGGATGCGACGGCGGGTGGGTTGCGTTGTTTTGTGCGGGTCTGACGCTCAAAAGGGGGAGGCGTTTTTGAGGTTACCCCTTATTTGTGGTTTTGAAGGGAAACCAAAATGAATTTCCACCGTTTTGGGGGGTCAGCCAAAAAAAGACACACCCAAAGGAGAGTCCTTCTCAAAACCGTGTTTGTCGTGGGTTTGTTGTTTCCCACCCATAGGAATCCCAATGGAACCATTGCTCCGGCCTTTTTTTGGGGGGTGGGGGGGGAGGCGTGTCCATATTCGATTTGAAGACCAATGCAATTGAGTATGGTATGTGTCAAAATTGGGTTCCGCCCCCCCCCCTCCAGCATGGTGGTTTGTACTTTGTCCCTTCAAAGTTGAAAGGGTACCGAGGAGAGCAAGACACATAATATATATATATATATTCCATATATATATACTCCCAATGGACGCCAACGAGGATGGATGTGTTTCTTAAGTTTTTAGGGCCCTCTATTTATCACCCAGTTGACATGCAACCCACAAAATAGGGGAAGCACTCCCAGGGAGATTCCTCTTGAAAGAATAGGACTAATTACTTGCTTCTGGCTGGGGTACGTGCCCCAAATGTACACCCGTATATAATCATCGACAGTTGAAAGGGAACAAATTGGTTGGGGCACGTCTCCTGCATGCAGATGTTCCCTTTGAACCACAGGGAATCAATCAGGACTGACAAGTGAGCCATGGCCTTTCGACACTGTTTTCGCTCAGGTTGGTGGGGATGGATGTCAACCAGTAGAGTAAGTGGAGAGTCTCATCAATATACAGTTGGCGTCAGAAGCAGGTACGCGGGTTTCTGTCTTGTTCTATCGTGCGGCTGTTGATTCCCTGATTTTTGCCATAGCGGGCACCGGAAGAATCGAACGTGTGTTTTATTGTCAATTTCCTGCAATATTGCAAATTGGCCAAAGCATGGTGAATCCTGGCGTTCCCTACTATATATACATGGACCCCGGCCGAACTTCACAACTATTCACCAATGGTTTGATCAGCATGACAAGAACTCCAGCATTCACCGACAATCCACTTGCAAAGTTTAGGGACTCAAGCCGCATGCGGCAGGGTCCTTGGGCTCGGCCTACAGTTTTGGGCCAGAGGACGGCCCTTGACATGGGGAGCAGCTCGAAAAGATAACTCCACATCCCGCGCAAAGTCGGCAGGAGGTGCCGCCGATCTTATGGAGGAGGAAAGGGCCATGTGTGCCCAGTGAATGCCGGTGGTTATGTTTAAAGGGATCACTGCTGGAAATATGTGTTTTTTTCTTCCGGGGACTTGAGCAAATGGAGGATCGCCTCCAAAGCGATTGGTAGACATGAATCCCAACCCAAATTGTAACCCAATTGATCTCCACCTTAAAGGTCCCCTAATAAAAATGCATGGCCTTATCACCACAGGGGCCTGCATGGGGCATAACCCAAGTCACCCATTGGGTTACTCATCGGCGCCCCCACTTGGAAGATTGATGGGGTGGTTCATGGTTGCAGACTTGGGGCCAGGTTCTGTCAGACCAGGTCATGGGAGACAGATCCACTTTACACAGAAAGTGATATTTAAGCACAACGGGGTGGAATCGGGAGAAACACCGGAGCCATTTTGGGGGCCTAAAATGACACACTTAGATAGTAGTAAACCAGCCATGTTCCATGCTACAGATTAGGAATGCTCTTGTTGATGGCTTTGCGACACATTTCAGGGGCTGTGTTGAACGAAGTTGTTCAGCAGAATCTGACACTATACACTGGCCCTGCCCCACCCTTTCATCACGGATGTGGCCAGCGCAAGCCACGGCACCGGGGTGTGTTGGTACAGCCAGTTTGGATAAACATAACTTGAATTCGGCGCAATAGTCAGGAGCAGCGGGACCAGGACCATTGCCAAAAGGTTCGCCCTCACAGAGTATTTGATTTTGTTTACAAATAGTGACCCCCACTTTGGATCACCTGAAGCGAAAACCTTGCACCTTGACGAGATGCGCATAGTTTTTCTTTAGCAAACGGAAGGATCTCGAAAAGAAGATGTTTATGAAACTATGGTGTTCTTAGTCATGTTCCCACTGGCATTGTGAAACATCGTCCACTGGAATTCCAACCCTGCGGTTTGAACATCCCAGCCCAGATTGGTCTACACCTGTTTGATGTTTGTTTTTGGTTTCCCTTGACATTCCCAAATCTAGCTAAACCAAGGTTGTCCTTTACATGGAGACCTCACAACAGACTTTTGTGACTTCCTTTTTAAAGCCATGCCAAAATGGGTACCCCCACAAGGACACGCCAACACATGTTTCCGTGCCTGGTTCTTTTGCGTATCTTCTTGGCTGCCCAAGTGGTGCTTTTAAATAGGGTATACCTACTAAGCTCTGGTTGGGAGGGCTACAACCCATTGTTATAATCCTGCAAAACGGGCGCCTTCGAAGCACACACCAAAATGCATTTGTTAGACCCATGTGACCCATTTGGGGTCACCCAACATGAGGATGCGGGAACGCGTCACAATAGCGCGCCCCCTTCCCCCCCCCAGGTGGATTCTCGTCGGCCTTTTGAACCAAGGGGTACTGAACACAAGCCCAAGGTTCCAGGTTGCAAGGACAATGTGGCCGCAAAGTACCCATTTGGTCGGGTCCTCCAAAATGGCTTCGGTTTTCCGTTGCAGCTCCCGTTGACACCGCGCAAAAGCAGAGATTCCAATTCCACAAAAAGACGAGCCACCAATTGGTTGAACCCCAGGCGTTTCTCGTTGGCACCCGGCCCGTTGCACGTCCTTCTGGATTCGGATCGTAGGATATCATCAAAAGCGCGTTGGTGAGCATCTCCGCTCAGAAGCACCGCGAAGCCTTGGAGCGATTCCAGAAGCGGGCGCCCAGACTTGCCAGGTTCGGGGTTGCTCTGTATGGCCTTGGGGGAGAGGTTTTCTTTGAGGTCTGTTTTTGTTGGTTCGTACATCGCCTTTTGTGCGGGGGCTTCGGTGGACTACCTGGCAATTTGTACCGGGAGCTGTTACGGAGCTGGGGGATGCTGGGGGTACGGTATGCAATTTTGCAGTTTGGAGCAAGCCTTTGGGAGCTACCAGGAGGCCTGAAAGGACATGGCAGGGTTGTTGTGCAACAATGTTTTGTCCCAGAGAATGCGCCAATCTGGGTTGCTGACTTTCAATCAGGTTGCCTTTTTTTTCAGCCACTCATTATGGCTCATCCCAAACCACTAGAGAACAAGCCTGCAGTCCTGTTTGCAGTTAGCTTAGATCTACAACTGTTGACCCTTTGTGAGGGGAAAAGCGTGCGTTCTCACCAGCCTGTCTTTCTCCCAATTTGATCCCGGCGTTACATTCTCATTTGAAAAGACAACTGGGTCATGACTACAGACATGGCTGGAGTGAGG